AAAAAATCAAATTCATGCCATCACCGCCATCCCAATATCTTGACACCAAACAGCAGAACAGCCTGGCTGGCTTCCGGCGGTGATAATGACACCTGATGCACTGGAACATTCTTGTTGTTTAAACGGTGAGTCGACCAAACTGATCATCCAAGTCCCTGGCCCGTGTGACACCCTCGGCGACTTCATGCTGGCGACCTCCAACCAGCGATCCGCACTGTGGACACATAGCTTCCTCCATCGGCATTCCACATTCTCCAATCGTAAACGGATGGCCATTTACGCAGTAGTACCAATGTCCGGTCCCTTGAAGCTCGAGTGCCATTGCTGCGTACACTGCAGCTCGTTCAGCGTTTGTGACGGGGAGATACACCGTTGACGAGCGCAACATCTTATCCACTTCCGATATCTCGGTTACCAAGCCAGCTGTTTGGCCAGGAAATTTCTCGCATATCGTGTGAGCCTGCCGCAAATGCTCTTTGGCTTGAATCAACAATTCGTCGGCATCCTCTTTCCTCCCGCACTCCAAGGCTGCGAACCGAGCCCAAAGAATGTGCCCTTCCACTGCAATTGCTGGCTGTGTCCGTTGCTGAGATTCATGCGCGAGCTTCTCGCAATACCTCCTGGTCATACTAAAATCAACGCTGATCTGGCATGTTTTCGCTTCACATACGGTTACAGTCAAAAAGTGTCCGATGATAACATAATCGCAACGAAGCACGAGAGCGGTGGTCAAAAGACGGTGTCGAACTTGAAGAAGGGTGGGACTGTTTTCCATGTTAGCGGCTATTCCACGCTGTCGTTTAACGTCCTCCACGAGGGCGTATATTCTCTGGAACGGCTGTTCAGATTCGTCAACTCTCGCCAGAAACCGCCAAATATTCCGTCGAAGCTTGAGAATCTCCTGATATCGTTTATCCGGCCGTACAATTTTGACGATTTCATTAATCTGCTCATTGTTTGAGCCCTTTAACTTCACGTCTATGACATCGACGAGCGGGCTACTATCCTTGCTCTTCTTTTGTTTCGCGAGTTGAGTTTGAAGTTCCATCATTTTTTCAGCCAGCGGGAGAAAGCTCTTGTGAGCCCACGCAATGAATTTCTTCGTGGCTTCGTCAATCCATCGTCGTTTAACAATACGAGCGTACCGTCGAGTAGTATTCAAAGGGCCACGGCAGACGGGACAACGTTTACTCTCGCTCTCTGATAATGGCTCGGACGGTTTCAACCCCATGATCGTATCCCCCTTGCCGGCTTCTTCGGAGATAACATAGTATTGACCCATACCTTGGTGTGCATCTAGACTTTCCATGCTGATGATATGGCCACATTGAGGAATAATGCACGGATTTTCATCAAGATTGGTATCCGCATATGTTGTTCCCATGATATAATCCACCATCGTTTGTTTAATTGATTGCTCGGCGCATACTTGACAGTATCGAGGATCTGGACATTCTTCGCCACAAATCGACGGACATTGGTGACCACACTGTAACATTTCTGGGCACCTCTTTGAACACGGCAAAATAGCGCAAGGAACAGCACAAGGAAGTTCACATTTACCCTGATGTGGACAGGCCCATGTACACTCTTCAATGCAGGGTGCACATGGTTCATGGCATTTCTTTGCACACTGAGAATGGGTGCACCGTATTTCACATGGCTCTTCGCACAACGGGCATGGACTTTCGCCGTGACAGGTGGCCTTGCATACATGACTGCATGTCTTATAACTTCTGCCACACTCTATCTTGCATACACCGTGGTTGAATACGCCGCTATCATCCGCGGGTCTACACTCCATACATAGCTTCGCACAGCTATGGCCGCAGGGAAGAAGCTGTCCGCAAACAACCTTGCATTGATATTTGTCCTTCAGTGGTAACTTGCCACAAGGAACCACAACTTTATGGCCGCAAATTGGTGCCTTAGTTTCTGTGGGAACTTTGCAGCTGTACAAGCTAGGAGTTTGCGCCTGGTAACATTTCAAACTGGAAGGCTTGTGTCCACATTTCAGGGTGATGCCAGGAACCGGAACTTGACAGTTTGTCTCGCATGGATCTCCGCATACTTTCGGACATGAATGGTCGCAACCTTTCATGGGCCTTACGCAACGTTCAAGACACCGAACGGTATCGTGTAGCGATTCTGAGTGACACATATTGGGACACCGATGGCCGCATCTCAATCTTGACTCGCACTTTCTGTTACATCCGCCCTCTGGTGAGAAGACCACAAAATCGTCCGGTTTTGATACGCCAGTTAGGATCTCGGGATGCCGAGGACAGCACAGTGCTAGTCTAGGACCCATTTGGTTCTTTCCCTTGAGGAGCGAGATGACCTTTGCCCACATGGGGACTGAACTTGCAGTTTCAGCGTTGCCGATAATGTACATTCCGTGCTGCGCTCGACTCAACAGGACATTGGCTCGATTCGGCGACCTGAGGAAGCCACAGTTTCTCTCATTGTTGCTTCGTACCAGTGAAATCACTATCACTTTGGCCTCTTCTCCTTGAAAATTATCCACGGTTGCTAATCTCACCGCATTTACGAGTGCGGTTTTTTGCATAATGTTCTTCCCGGTATCTATCACGTCGTCCAACAGGTCCATCGCTTCAAGGTCTTCAAGGTCTTTGTCAGCCACCACAATTTCTATAGACCGCCCAAGTCTTTCTCTCAATTTTTGCAGCTGGCCTAAGTACGGTGTGATGACAGCAATGCCTTCGCGCTTATAAGTTCCTTGTCTTACGAGATGAGAAACAAGCCCGTTGACCATCTCGACCTCAAACAAGTTCGTCTTCGAGAAAGAAGTTGTTTGACTCCGATCTGGACTATCCTCCAGGTGCTGGTGATTCAGCCAAAATAGTCGGTCACGCATTCCTGGTACCCCTGGATATTCGTGCACCGAGGGATGGTCCTGTAGCCGAGGATAAATCGTACTCCTAACCAATTCTGCAATCGAAGGATGCATACGTCTCTGAGTTCTCAAAGTGCTAAACGGAAGCTTAGCATCTCCAGTTTCCGGGTTGATCAGGCGCTCGAATAGAGACACGTCTAAAGAATACCGGTTTCCGCTTGGATGATCATGCTGGAACTCATAAGTGTTGATTTGCGGCCTGAGTTGCTGGTGATCTCCGATCAAGATGGCGTGCTCGATCGATGGAAGGAGAGCAGTAAGTGTGTGAGCCTCCAGGACTTCGCCAGCCTCTTCGCACACAAGGACTTTTGCCGGTACCCGGCGAAGCATTTCGATATTCCTTGCCAACCCTGCGGTGGTAACTCCAACGACATTCGCTTGATCGAGGCATCTAATGCTTTGCTCCTGATGACAGCCGTCGATTATATTCTTGGCTTTGCGGCATTCATCAAGGCTATCAAGCAAGTGGTTTGTGTGATTTCTGATTATATCGTTAACCCAACGATCATACAGTCGTTTCCTCTCATTTCGGGACATCTCCCACAAAGAAGTATTCCATAATTCTGAAATAGGGCGGCTTGATGATTGGTTCGGCGTTTTGCTATTAAGCCATCGTTTAATCGCCTTGTTAGGCTTGACTTTCACCTTTTGGAACTCCTCACTATCGATCTCCGGGCCAAAGAGTTCCTTATAATGGAGAGGATGGTCTTCTAGGTGCATTTGAATATTTTGCCAGGACCCGGGGTTTTCGAAAATTGGCAAATTTCCCACGATGCGACTCGTCTCTTCGTCCAGAGCTTGAAAATATTTGCCCTTCATGGCTCTTTCGGTTTTAGTCGGAGGTAACTTGCGTGACAGGCTATAAAGGTTTAGATCTTGAACAAGAGGGCATTTCGACCTTGACCCTATGCGGACCACTTGGTCCACGCCACTTTTGATCAAGTGAACCAGCAGCTGGTCGAGTGCGTGGTTCGTGTAGCATACGCAAATAATCGGCCCCAGCCCTGCTTTCTCTCGGTTTGCCAGTAAAGTTTTGATTAGTGATACTCCTGTATAACTCTTGCCAGTTCCTGGAGGTCCCTGTATAATGGCGAAGCTATGGCTCAGTGCGTTGATAATCGAGATTCGTTGGGCTTCGTCAAGCGTGGTCATCTTTTGCATTTCTTCATAATCCAATACCCGGCCAGGTGTTAAACTCAACGGTTTCCCTTCGGTCAAAGGCGCCAAATCAAAAGAAAATCTCTGTGCTTGCGCATATGAAGGCGGGGGAGGGTTTATCAATCCTACCCCTGGCTTCCCAGGTGGCAGGATGTCTGCAAACGGGACTCTTGTTGGAGACAGAGACATGTGTTGCAAAGCGCGCAAAGTTGGTTCAAATGCGGCTAATAAAACACTTGGAAATTCGAGAAGCGATTGGCGTAGCTTGGGTCGTCTATCAAGGTGAGTTGTTATCCACATAATATCCTCTTCTCGCGGCTCGACCAGTGCAAGAGTGATGGATGCCCGATCTTGGTCCTTGAATAGCGCTGCTGCTCGACGGAATTTGCCATCACGACTGGGGCCCGTGGCTTCAGGGCCTTTTGTTTCCTCATTCGTCTTTTGAGTGTCAAAGTGTGGACTGAACACCTGGAAGAAGATAGTATTTCCCGCGGAAGATATGTAACATACAAGCGAATCTCCTCGAAGCTGTTTGGCGTTCTCCCACCAGTCTCTTCGCTGCCTTTCGGCTAGGTTTACAACAGGAAGCGGCTGGTCAAATTCAGCCTGGACCAAAAGGCCCTTTTTTGTATCAAACTTGAGTCGTGTCAGGCAGACATTTTGATAAACGACATATCGTGCATTATTTTTGAGCCGCCGTTTAGATTTGTTGTTTCCATTGGGATTATCGACCTTCTCCCGTTCTATCCGAATAGCATCCCGAATGGGGGCGATTGTGTCCTCCCGAACCAGCCTAAAGTGCCTATCGAGCAAATTAGCCATGCCTTGAGGCTGGCCCTCGTCGCCGCTGACCGGTAGATATTCCGGCCGATCAGAGGATATTTCGTCCGTGGTAGGGAGGACTTTGATCTTTGTGATGTCTTCGTGATCGTTGTCGTGTCGCCGGCCTTCTCTGGAGAGATTCCCCGGAAGGTCGTAGTTGATGTCGAATATGGCATTCTGCAGGTTTACATCTGGTTTCTCCACGAATGTCGGGACACTGATGCCGAGCCGCTGTTGGATCCGACCAAGGGATTTCCGCGCAAGGCAGAGCGGCCAACCTGCTGGGATCGCATCGGCAATACGGGCCGCAATGGTGGAGATTTCGTCCAAGAGTTGAGCCTTTTGGTTCAGGTCGACAACTCTTTGCAGCACCTGCAATGTTGCCGTCAGCACATTAGCTTCGTGCTCTTGTTCTTCTGCGACATTATCTTGAAGCAGTTTCTTCAGGGCATCGGCGGCAACCTCAAAAACGTCTATAGCTCGACGGCCTTGTGGGCCAAACAAAAAGGTACAAATAGTATCCAAAGAGGCTTCTAACACTGGCGAGGAGAAGACGTAGGGAGCAGAGATCATCTGGAAAAATGGGGCCAAAGTCCGCCTGAAAAACTCGCTGGCTCTGAGCCGCTCTCTGTCGACAGTGATGTCGGTCATGGCTCTGATCATTGCTAGACCTTCGTCCGTTGCTAGCTTTGTGATGATTTTTTGACTTGTGTCTGGGTTGTTTTTTTCAATGAGCTCCCATCCCAAGCTAAAGAATCGAGATGTATCAACGCCCATGGACGAGGAATATGAGTTGGGCCTGGGAATAAGGGATGTCCATCTTCGAAATTCGGCGTCGATAATGCCATTGGGCGCGTTCGCCTGGCCAGCCGCTTGTGGTGCCTTGGGGAGATCATGCGAGAAGCGACAAGCATCCCCCTTATCGCAGCCCCTTTCTGACTGGAGGCGGTAGCATATCCCTTTAGCCGTGGGTGATATGTTCTCTTTTCGGTCAGGCCTGTGGTTCAAGCCCCCCCTGAGTCCAGTTAGCAGAGTGCCATCTTGCGGGCGTGCTGTGTCTGATATTACCTCTGGAAGCGTCGAGCCATGATTTGGACTCTTCACGCCACGATCATCAGGGGAGTTTCAGTGTTTGCAGTCCTATTTTCAGAAGCGCAAGCATGCACAAAACGATGGAGAGAAGAGCGAGGTGAGATGTGCTTCTGTTTGGCTTTGTTTTGTGTGCGCGGCTGTTTTGTGTGGGCTCGCCTATCTGAACGCGCCTGCTTTGGGTGCCATGGAATGTTCCATCAGTGTTCGATCTGTGAGCAGCACACAAACAGCTGCCATCAGACACACTGCCATTCTCTTCTGCACATTGCACTGGCTGCAACTGGATGGCCTCCTTGTTTCCTGGGATATGTATTGGAGCCCTGATTCAAGGGCTATGTGGAATGATATCAGGTGTAGATTCGCATCTACACTGCACTTCTCATCTTGAACATCTAGCTGACTGGACTCTGTAAAGCGAACCTCTCTCCCGCTGCGTATTCTGGACAAGATCATGTTCGATCTTAGTCTGTCGTTGTGTATATCTCGGGCTGAACCGGCCTGTGAGATCCAAGCCAGAGAAACATGGGTATCTTTTGGCCCTGAATGACAAGGCAGCATGGCTCTGTCCATACGTTGAATCATGGGTTATGGCCTTTCTACGGTAAATATCTGGCATCGAGTGTAGTAGCTAATATATGGAACTGACACGGATGATTTGGAGTGATGAAAAGGGGGTTTCTTTTTTTTTTCTTGTACAACCATCGTCCATTGGGAGACCGTTCAGATTCTTTTTATAGAAATAGTACAATAGCAACTACCGAGCACTCCGTGTCTCTTCCATCGTATGACAAGCTGCACGCAGGGCGACACAATCTCACGGACCCTGCAACCTCGACAATTGTTATTTAGCTCCTCGCTTCTTCAGAACAGCATCCAGTCACGTCCCTCATTCACCACTCTGACAGGGCTGGCCAACCGAGGGCGTTGACAAGGGCATTCTCTTCCAAGTTGAACCCCGCGCTGTTGCGATGCCTCGACGGATCCGATTATTTGCATCGTTCGCAGGAGCCAATTTGAGCATCCGTGGGCTGCAGTCCAATCGCCCGGCGACATCGACCCCCAAGAGGCGTTGGCTTGCAGCAGCAGCCTCTTTGCCGTGGTGATTGGATGCAACGCCGTTCTAGCGTGTGATGGCCTTGCAGCGGCCCTTGTCTGCAGCATGGGTGCTTTGGCGCTGTGATTCGCTCGACAGGGCTCGTTTTGTTTCTAACCGCCCGGACGAGATGCTCGCTGCAGATTGATGCCCGCCCGCCCCCGCTCATCACTGCCTCTTTGCAGGGCCAGACGGGTGATCCGAGATGCGCTCCTCAGGGCGGCGCAGGGCCCATGATTCTCGCGCAATGCACGAATGCGATCATGGGCTGCTTCTAGTCGGAAATCCCGGCCATTTCCTGACTCCCGTGGCCCTGAAGACAAGCTCGCTCTGCTTCCATTTGTCAGTTTGCTTGCCGCCGTCCTCGCTTCCCCTCGACGAAAAGCAGCGTCTCTCTCGTTCCTCTCTCCCTCCGTCCTCTTCTCTCCCAGCAACGTCTGTCTCGCACCTGGCCGTCCTCTGCAAACGTTCTCCCTGCCTTTCTTTCTTTTCTTGGATGTGAGCCGGCCTCGCAGCTATCAAACCGGCTGTTCTTTGCTCGGCGAGTCCTGCACTTCATCACTCTTGCGCCTCAACACGGCCGGAGAGAAGCGGACTGAACGAAGAATCTCTGCTCCTGCTGGCTGACAGGGACAGCTGGTGAGTTACAGGAGATGCCCTACCCAGTTCTGCCGGATGGAATTCAGTCTAATCGCTCTACAACCTCTAGCTTGATATTGTTTTCATATCTCTAGGAGCTGGTTCTCTTGGGAAACAGACAACGAAACTATTTGTTTTCAATTCCAAAAGCACACGGTTCTCGCCATGGCGAAATCACACCACAGTGAAGACTCTTTCGAGCCAGTATCGCCGATGGATGTTGTGCAACCGAAACGAAGATCGGTGGGATTTGGCGCTGTCAAAACTATCGACGTTGAAGATACGCAATCGCCCAGTGACTCCAATCCGTCGACCCTGAGCCCGCCTCGCACCCCAAGATTCTCCGAAGCCACTTCTGTGCATTCTCCTGTTGCCTCGTCGTCTCGATCTCCCTTTGCAGATCCTCCCGCAACAGCTGAATCAAGTTCTGAGCCCAATGTCTCTGATCTAGGTTTTGGCTATGTGGCCGACAACCAGCCTTCCAACCATGCCTCTGGTCCCCAAACCAGTCCTCCTGGCTCGCCTTTGAAAAGTGCACTAAAATCCCCAGGCACGCCGGGTCGCCTGGTCAATCCGCTCAGCCCTACTTTCAAGGAGGAACAGATTGTCGAGTACTATGAAAAGGAAACCGAGGAAGAGAATGCTAAGGATGTCGTATGTAAACCCTTAACCCCCTGCCCTCTGGGGACCCATTTGCTAAGGCGTTGAACTAGAAAATCAAAACTCGTGTCCGAATAGCAAAGTTCTTACTGCGCGGCGTTAATTTCTCTTGCAGCCTGATCATTCTCGCATTGCTGGCTCACAGCTTTGTGGTATTTAACGCCACGAAAAATCTTGCATCCAGGGGCAACTTCAAGCCATGGTCCCCAGACACAAACCCTTGGCCTCAGATCGTCATTGTGGTCGTCGCATCAATCTCAGTCCTCTTATGCGTATGCGTTTTTATAGCTTACTGCCGTGGCGGGCATCGTCGAGCTGAAAAGATAGGTGTATATTACACCGTCTTTGGAGCCTGCTTCTTTGCCTTTACGATTGTGATGTGGGTTGTTGCCGCAGTCGTGCTTCAACACAGCAAAAACAGCGGCAGTGAAAAGGATTTGTGGGGCTGGGCTTGCAACGAGAATCAGCGCCGCGAAATATATGCGGATGTTGTTGATTATGCACTCGTTTGCCGTATGCAGGTACTTAATCTCCATCTCCCTGCTTTTAGCTATTTGCAAACTCACCGTTTCCTAGGACTGGATCTTGGTCTGCATCATCATCGAGGTCGTTGTTGACACCATCACCGTTGCAATCTACGGAGTGGTTTTCTACCGTTTCTGGTCTAAGCGCAAGCTACGCAAGTCGATGTATGCCCGGGACAAGGCCCGATCCGACCTCTACCTTGCCACCCTGCGCTCTCAATCAGCCCCAAACACCCCCGGCTACCCTCTCAGCCCTGGCTCGATGCAATTCCCCAAATCCGCCGCCTCGGGAATCGACCCCTATTCCGTTGCTGAAAACGGCGGGCAAAGAACCCAGTTCGCACAACCCACTCCAAGCTCGAATTTGCCCTTCCAACTCCAGCCCCCGCCAATTCGCGTCCAGGCCCCGACGCGTGACAACTCGCCGACCGATGGCGAGCCACCGGCATCCGCTGGACTCGTTCAGGTCCTCAACGAGCACGTCGGTCCTGCACCGGGAGAGCAAAAGTACGAATCTGTGCCTATTCCAGGATCCTATGCCGGCCCTGTCAACAGTCCAACCTTTATGCCCCAGTCATCGGCGCATCAAAGGCAAGGGAGTCGGGAAAGTGAAAACCAAGCGCTGGGGACGGCCGTGACGACTGATAATGCTGAACCTCCTCGCAACCAGTAACGCTATTTTGTAGTTTCAGCATGCACTCTTTATTTGTATTCGACCGGAATTCAGTGTTTGACCGTTGGCCTTTAATGCACCTCGCCATCCACCTGCTGAGCTTTCTGCTCATATATGTTTGCATTTTTTTGGACTGATGTTTCCCTTGTTAGATACCAACTTGCTCTACCTAATATTTCCACCCTTTTTTTTTTTTTCATAATCCATGTCGCAGGACCATCTTCTGCTCTGATGTATGATAATTGTATGCAGAAGACCTGAGAACATGACCATAGTATGTTGTATGATCACCTTTTATACTTGCCCGACACAGGTAACTTGAAACGCTGCTTCTTTGGCAAGACTCAAGAGCTGCATTCACTCACTCTCAGAGTTAGAACTAGGATATCTATGAATCTCTCCAAGGTACTCACTATCCAAGCCTATGACTACACCAGGCTGAGACTAAAAAAGATATATGCCTCAATTGAAAGGCTCAATTCTTCAAACTAAACCCAATATATCGTGACGACACATTGCAAGTTATCCAAGCACAATTACAGCACAAAGTGAATTCAAAACAGCCAGAAGCTGTAACAACAACATAAACGGCCGTGAGTCATCCCTGTCCGATACCAAATGTCATAAAGCAAGAAGAACCGGTCTTTCAGACTTCACCTTCAATCACTGCACCCATATCTTTGCTCACAAAGATCTCCTCTAGCCTCCCATTCCAATCCCCTTCAAGCCCATTTTGGTTCTCTAGGACCAGTCCTTTTTCATTTGCCAAGTGAAGCAGACAGATGAAGCAGTATGAAGTGCTAATGTCGCGCATGGCTTGCTCAGGATATGAGCCTTGTAAATTGTTTATGATATTCGTAAACCGGAGATTTTCTGACTCATCAGACGAGGGATTATGTTGCGTTGAAGCTTCAGAATTGAGGTCGGCGCTTGTAGTATTCGGGTCAGATACGGGCGCCGGGGGGCTCGTGGCTACCGCTGCTGACGGGGAAGCAGAACTAAATGAAGAAGCAATTAAGCGATCTCCCATTCCTTTCCACATGACTTCCTTTAATCTTCGCACGTCAACCTTCTTCGCTACCCTAGCGTAAGCAACGTATTCGGGACGAACACGTCGGCCCCCTTGTGTCACAAGTTGTGAACCAAATCCGCCGCCCAAAACGGTACCAGGCGTGGCGACACTGTTTAACAGGGCATTGATACCGGAGAGGCCTCCGGACTCGCCGGCCGAGGCTCCCCTGCGGTGCATTAGGGTCCATTGTAGGGGAAAACGCTTCCCTGGCATCAGCAAATGGCAAATTATCATCATCGTCATCCACTCCTAAAGGTAAGCCGTGGGGGAAGGCTAAGCCATCATCGTCCGCAAAAAAGTCGGCATCATATGTCCCAGTAACAGCCTCATTCTCGTCAGCGTTTGTTTGGCCCATTCCTGGTTTTTGTGATGCCCAGAACGCTTCATCAATTTCACCATTATTCGTAGACGAAAATTCGTTCGGACGGCGATTATTCATTTGTCCAGCTTTATTCCGTGCATGGAAGCCCATCCGCGCTCTAGGTTTCAGAAACAGTCGCAAAAGATTACGAGAGTTGAAGTGCTTGTCATCAGGGAGGAGATTGCGCCCTTTGGTTTTCCATTGGGATTTGGGCAACGAGATCGCAGAGTTGGAACTTGTTTGAGCGTATATTATTTCTGCGACAGCAAGATCGAGCGGGGAAGAGAAATTGATCTCGAAGGGTTCTTTCTCCTTCCGTTGTCGCGGAGCGGGATTGGAATTCGAGGCAGTGGTCTCCTTTATTCTGCGAATTTTCCAGTGCTCCGGGCCTGCCCAATCTTTTCGCAACGCATTATCAAAATAACTCAAAATGTTTTCGTGGTCCCGATTAGCTGGTTGATGCGATAGTGAAACTCTGTAAGGGTCGTCTTCAGTAGATTCGAACACACCTCCCAAGCTATCATTATTCGGCCCGTCACCCGAATCTACGCGGTGGACCTTTAACATCGGCTCGAGCGCAGCCTCTCTCGCCCATACCTCACCACCTTCACCGAAACCAACATCTCCGCCAATGTCAAAGCCAGAAACAGTGCCATCATCATCATCAAACCCGATAGCGATGTCATCATCAAGCATAATCCCGGAGGCGTCCCTTAGACCTTGATCTGGTTGCGCGTTTTCTTGTCGCCAGTCTTCTGGGGCACGGAGAAACGGGATATCCAGTGTGCCATCTCCAAAGTCAAGGTTTTTGAGGGATGGGCAAATATCCTGCTCGGCGAGACTATCCAGATCTGGGAAAAATTTACTTGCTAGAGGTCCCAAATCAATCTCAACTTGTTCGTCTATAGAGTTAGCGGTTTGAGGTCTGGGGGTCGGGGATTTTGATCCTTCTTGTTCCCCTTCTCGTTGCTGCTCATCTCCTTCGGCGGTTGCATCGACGTCGTCGCTACTATCAAACACGATCCTGCCTTGGCCGTCTATCGAAAGATGGTTTAAAAGCAAGCCTTTGGCACCACCTTCATCAAAATCGGCGGAGGCTTTCTTGAATAGGGGATCGACCGCGAATTCTAGCTCAAATTTCTTTAGTTGTAAAGAGGCAAAAGAAGGGGCCAACGTGGCTTCATGCGAGCGAGAAACCTAAGACCGAGTTTAGAAACCGGTGCAAATCGGTAGGTGAACGGCATGTGCATGCAATGGGAAGCTACCTTTTTCCGCTTTCTTCTAATTCCATCTTCGCCAGTCTCTTCCTCCTCATCTCCATCTTCTTCAGCCGCCTCTTCATTTTCGTGTCTTCTTTTGCTGGTATTATTGGACTCTGCCAAGCCACTTAACAGTTTGCCGGTTTCAGTGGCAACGCTATCAACTCGGCTCGTGTAGATTTTGACGCATCCATCAAGCGTGCAGCTGGCTTTCTGAAAATTCACACCGTCTCCTTCTTTCAAAAGAGACATATCATGAAAGTAATCGATGAGAGCGAAATTCCAAGAATTTGTAGCATTGATCTTGTTGTCTGTTGCCATTTTCATCCATTCCTCGAAATTCGCGAGGATAGGCACGCGTTTCATGGGAGTCACGGCTCTTCCCAGGGCATCGACATCGCTTTCCCTCCCGCGCATCGACGCACGAGGCGTACGGGGACTGGCGGATGCTCTATCGTAATTCATTCTTCTTGGCGGCATCGGCGTCTTCACCGCGGCCTTAATCTGATTCATCTGCATATCGTGCAGGGCCTGGCGGGACTGAAGCCGCGCAACTTTCTCGCCCACGTCATCGTTGAGAGGAATCCTAGCAGAATGATTGCGGTCAGCGCAACTGGAATATCTCGATCTAGGCCGTAGATATTGATTGTCCTGCGCGCTTCCTTCCCCGTGTTCGGCTCGCGCTTTCCTTTCCCCATAGCGCTCGCAGAGCTGAAGAAAAACTCACTTCACGTACTTCATTGTAGACGCTTTGGGTGTGCTATCGTGTCTGGAACTGCCGCGGCGGCCATGATTCTTGGTGGGCGGGTTGACCACTCGAGGCATGGCGGAGAGTCACGCCTGGCTGGGCGGTCCTGGGCTGATTGTCGAAAAAATATATTATAAAATGGACCCAAAATAACCACGTAGCTATACGGATAAGCACTATCTGATATCGAGTAACGGTGCTGTGGCATCTCCGATTGTCGCTGTTTTGTTGTGCGTCGTCGCGGCATTCCCAAACCAGAATTGGCAAAACATACGGCGGACGAAAACGACCGCCTTGGCCGAAACTATGCTTATGTAATCTCTTCTATGCAGGAGGGAGTTCAATGCCTTTGTTTCGTATATGTTTTAGCTATTATCCCATTGACTAACAAGCTCCCTGTTGGCTGTGATAGTTGCTGAGCCCATTTGCAGAACGCTGCTCGTAGACCTCGTCAGGTCGAACCGCCCGTTGGATGAGAGTCCCTTTTGCAGGAAAGCAGCCAGACAAAACAATATAAGCTATGCTTGATCCTACAATGCCCAAGAACCATCCGACCTTGTATAAATAAACTCCGGCCCCAATCGATACCCCCTTGTTAACTGTACTAATGAAGCCGGGTAAGCTGGGAGATACTCCAACGAGGAATGCGGCTATGGCCCTCCAATTGAAACCCCGGTTATATCTATAGATACCCCAGGGCTGGTATAGTGCCAGGGAATCATATCTTCTGCGTTTCACAATCCAAAAATCAACGAGCATGATGCCAGCAATAGGGCCTAAGAAAACGGCATACGCAGACATGAAATTCAAAAACACTTGTGCGGATTTAAGAATCTTCCAGGGCATTAAAAACCAGGATAAGAGCCCACATAGCAACTGGCCACGGCGGATGTTAATGTATTGAGGCGCAAGGGCCATCAAATCATTTGCGGCAGACAAAGAATTTGCTGAAATGTTAGCTCCAACGGCAGCCAACGCCAGCGAGAACCCGGCGAAAAACTGGCAGGTTCGATTGTCCCAAAGCGAAATCAGGGTATTCGGGTCCCAGGGAATTTCTCCGCCATACCTGGCCTGGCCAGCGGATGATACAACAATTCCAATGAATGAAACAAACGTGAAAACGGCTGGCAACAGGGGGACATATATCAGCTGCCACATAACACTCACTCGTGAGTATCGAGAGAAATCGGCCTAAAGTCGGCCGGTTAGAAAACAAGCCAAACATATGCATTACAAGGGCAAGTTGATGCGGATGTTCCTGCTCTATGCATACTGACGCACATGCGACGAATATATGAGAATGATCTCTTACTTGATTAACGCTGAGGGTTGCGTAGCTTCCGATGGCTGAGGTTAGACTAGCTAGAAACGTCCAGCTATATTCAGATCCCCTTAGAGATGCGTTGCCTTGGAACAATTTTCCAGCGTCCGTAGTTCGAAACGCCCACACGAGCATTGCTATCCATGACACCGGTACAATCGTGGATTTGGCCATAAAGAGCCACCGAAGTTTGTTGGGGTGGATGCAGAGGAAAGGGAACTGCAAAATGAAGAACAGGAGATAACTGATCATTCCGTTTGTGGTAATGCCTTGTTCCTCTGGGATGGTATTCCTCAATGTCAAAAAGCTAGGCCAAATGCTGCCAATCATGATTCGCACTGCATTTGCTCCATTCATATTGTTGATAGAAAACCAGAACAGGGCGAGGATAAGCCGGGAAACGATGGCGATGTACGACCCCCAAAACCCCCAACTGGCCCGGGCGATAACGGGGAATGGGCTATGATAAAGTACCCCCGTTGCTCCATTTAATGCAATCACGATAGATATGATGAAATATCCAACTGCAGATATAATCAACGACTCCCTCCACGATAGCCCGACAGCGATGACACCGCTGGCAAATTGCCAAGTTGCCACAACAAAACCATCGGAGATCCAGTATGCAACGAAGCTCAACACCCCCCATTTCCGCAAATGGGGAGGGATGGGGTCTAGGTCATGATTTGTCCATCTCGTATTGCCCTCCGCAAAGGCTGACTTGGACTGCTCGACATGAATGGTAGGGAACTGAAATTTCATTTTCAATCATTAAATGATTAGGAACAGGGCATAAAGATCCAAGGGATCTCGTTTGCAGGCTTGCAGTGAGAAATCAACCGTACTCCAGACGGAGTAGTCACCCATGAAATATAGACAGGATGTGACGATCAAGGAAGGGGAAGAATTCGCTCCTGCATGGCTGATACCAAGGTCATGAGCAACGTCTCGTCAAAAGAAAAATAGCAGACAATCGTCATGTCGTGTAACCTTTCTTTTCCAAGCCCCCGAATTAATTGCATAAACAGCCGGACAAAAAGCCATGGCGTTTTCTTAATGCCAGTTCTCATCACAAGCTTGGAATAAATCGTGTATTGAGCGCCAGTGGCTTTCTTCGATGGGTTTGAGTATTGCTCCTTTGGAACCTGGTAAATATCCAGTGAGTCCCTCCCAAGATCTGTTCGCAGTGCCCATTGTAAGTCTTCACAACTAGGCCAAAAGAATACACCCTCCAGCCTAGCCGGAGAACTTAGTAGTCGGTTGTTAAGTCTGCTTTTATCTGACACCAATCAACCATCCTGAGGTTGATCGGATCGGTACGCCCTTTGCCTGTATGGAGTATAGGCGTGAGATCCTGATAGAGGTTTCGGGTGACACAGCAGAGCTCAGTTCGGACAAACAGGGCGCCGGTGTGATCCTTCGTCGTTGTTGACCTCAATGAGGCATCCAGAAATCAGTTGTCCGAAAAGGGGCTCGAGCACCGCCTCGATTAGTCATAACCATCTGTGGCTGAGCACTGTGCCACAGCCACCTTGTTACGTCAGCCCAGACAAACACGTCAAACATACCTAACCTCCAGGGTGACATCGACGGTTGTGAGAGACAGTCTGACGGCGACAGCAAGGGATATGGCAGCCTGAGATTCGAGTGGCCATTCCCAATATTCCCACGCTCGTTCAAAACGACGTGATCTCTTTGTGCCTGCCATGGGATGATTCACATATTGACGTTATTTAGATCTTCGTTTGGTCAATTGCGGAGCTGACTCCAACGACTCTTCTTCCTCATGATGCAGCCAAAATGCAGGGCTTCTTGGAAACTGTGCCGTTACGAGCAATGGCAGCTCGGAAATCGAGACCACGCTACTCTATTCGCCCTTTTTACCTTGTTCTAACGGTGCTCCTCGCCCTTGCGGCTATCACTGTCTTCCTCCCTTCTCCGTCAGGCCTCCAGACGTCTAGAGAAACACCCCATTTACGGAAACGACTGGTAACAGAACGTCAGGAGTGGTCAAATATTGCAGAAGATGAGCAGGAAGTATGCTATGTACCTCTGGGGCTTCCATAGAAGTATCAACTAACCCGATTCCCGATAGAAGTGCCGCCTTGTCCACAAGGCCCACGACCAGTGCGCGTACGTTCTCGCCAATTGCAAGGACCATGAAGTCGGACTTCTTTCTTATCTGCAGCTATATTACTGCAAACTCCCGCAAGCGAAACCAGTGGCATTCGCTATCATAGCCCTATGGCTCTCACTTCTATTCAGTACAATTGGGATCGCCGCGAGTGATTTCCTCTGCATAAATCTCAGTACAATGGCCAGTATCCTAGGAATGAGCGAGAGTTTGACCGGGGTAACTTTCGTAGCGTTCGGAAATGGTAGCCCTGATGTTTTCTCTACTTTTGCTGCCATGAGCTCGAATAGCGGCAGTTTGGCCATAGGTGAGCTGATCGGAGCAGCTGGCTTCATCTCAGCTGTTGTCGCCGGCTCAATGGCCCTAGTGAGACCTTTCAGGGTGGCACGACGAAGTTTTGTCCGCGATATTGCATTTTTCACTTTCGCAGCCAGTTTTAGCTTGGTGTTCATCGCCGATGGCAAACTGCATGTATGGGAATGTGTGATTATGATTGGCTTTTACTTCTTTTATGTTGTGACAGTTGTGACTTGGCACTGGTATTTAGGCCGCCAGCGCTTGAAACGCGAGAGAGATCTTATGGCTAGGGCACACTTCCATATCCCTCAAAACCAGGAATTAGATATTCAGGAAGAGCCCGAGGACGATGATGCTCCGGTAGCTGGTGCCCAACGCCCAACGCTTCTTGGGCCATCTGACGAAGATTTTGATGCGCTTGAAAGAGCGGATATTCCGGCTTGGAAAGTCGAAGACGAGGAAGATGATGAAACACGGGATCGATACCTTGCGGAGTTACAGGGCAATATGCGCGTCAGCAGAGCTCCCGCTGGCCAAAGGGGAGCTGCGATGGGAGCTATCCGCCCAAGCCTGGTCGGTGCATTGGAGTTTCGATCAGTCCTTTCGTCGCTTCAAAGGTCGCGAAGTTTTCACTCAGGTCGAATTCATCTTCGAAATTACTCCGATGATCCTAATCATTCAGAATCCTACCCAGATACCTTAAGTCCAACAATTCCATCTATCCATGGTCGCGCAAGAGCTGTGTCAGCTAACCCCGCCGTTCGGGTTCCTTTGCACAATAATCGGCGAAACGATGCTGCATCAGATCGCGGTGTGCCAATTGCGTCGCGGCGAGCGGCCAATTTTGCTTCCGCTTTCACGGATCAAGAACATATATGTTTCGCATCACCTACATCATCTGGTTATCCATCGAGGGCCCATAGCCCAGCCTTAATAGAAAGAGCCGGATCACCAAATTTTTTGGCACCGCCAGAGAGCCCGTTTCGACCGCTAAATTATCAAAGTGAAAGGGGTGCTACGCAAGGAGCTTCATTGTCGCCGTCTCCATTATCTCCAAGAGCTAAACAACCGCACGGGACGCCTGCTAGCAGCATTAAGTCTTCCGGCCCACATAGTCCCACCCTTCCATTTCCTCCATACCAGGATGATGTAGCTTCGGTTCGCCCGGGGATCCCTAGCATCAGGCTACCTCCAGCTAGTACATCCGGGTCGGTATATGCATCCGAACACTATATTCGCAGCCATCATGAAGAGAAACCGCTAGCATGGTGGCCATACCGACTTTTGCCTCCGCCCATTCTATTTGTGTCTACTCTGTTTCCGACCCTGTCTGGCTGGGCTGAGAAATCAGTATGGGACAAAGTATTAGGGATTACGGCCGCCCCTAGCGTACTATTTTTGACTATAACTCTACCAGTTGTCGAGCCTCCAGTCGCAGAGCCGGAAACTGAACCTGTATCTGTGTTTGTCTCTCCACCATTATCCCCCAACGAGGATCCTGGAATGGTGGCCTCTGACACACCACTTCTACATTCCATTGAACCCGACACCGACGCTCACCTTCCTCTACCCATGATACCTAGCAATGGCAACAGTGCTCGAGGTCAGCAACCCAAGCCTACCGTACCTCCAGGAGCACGGCATCGCCACGACTCCGAAGCGCCGGTTTTACCAACCCAGTTGGAACAGAACACTTCGGTCCCCAAACAGTGGAACCGATGGCTTCTCACGCTGCAACTTGTCACGGCACCACTTTTCATTGCACTGACAGTATGGGCCAACCTTGATTCTGATATGAATGGACGAAATCTCCTTGTACCTGCTCTTGCCGCCCTCGTCGTATCCGCTGTTCTGCTCACTATCCTTCTTGTTACCACCAAACCTACAACCAAACAACTCCCCTCCCGTGCCCGGCCATTTTTGGCGTTCCTTGGCTTTATCGTGTCGATTGCTTGGATTTCTACTTTGGCTACGGAAGTTGTCAACGTACTGAAATCCGTTGGTGTCATTCTCAGCATTAGCGATTCATTACTTGGACTGACTGTGTTTGCCGTCGGAAACTCTCTGGGCGATCTCGTCGCTGACGTTACCGTGGCGAGATTGGGGTACCCAGTCATGGCTCTAAGCGCATGTTTCGGTGGCCCTATGCTCAATATTCTCATTGGGATTGGTGTTGGGGGATTGTACATGACTCTTAACCCGGCGTCGAAACACTCTAGCTCTTATTCTGGACTGAACACGATCATGGCAAGAGCCGTTTCTGCCGCCGAAGAACCATACCGTATATCGGTTTCTAAGAGCTTACTGATAAGCGGGGCGGTGCTGTTGGCTACGCTTGTGGGGCTATTGATTGTTGTACCGCTCAATGGCTGGAGGATGGATCGAAAAATCGGCCTGGGATTGGTGACTTTGTGGTGTGTCAGTACAGTCTGTAATGTCATTGTTGAGATCGTGACATAAACCCTTGTTGTGATGTGTCTACCTAGCCACCTATATCGCTCCTTGATGAATATGATTTTTAGTCGAGGCATTTAAGCAGATGGCATCCTCCCAATGAAACAATTGCTCACAATAAATAATGCATAGATTCGAGAAATAGAAAAGGGTTATAATAACTAATTGCACATGAACAATCTGATCTCGAGTAAACAATCTAAACCAAATGCTCTTGAGACAAGTAATGAATTTCTACATAAAGCACCACGTAAGAGCTACAATACTCTACCGGCTACGGCCGCGCTCCTATCCTTTGTTGCAACCTTCTTCAAGCCCTTTCCAGCTTTAATGTCAGCAAACAATGCTCCACGTCCAGCGCTTGGTCCAGTAGGTCCTAGCGCGGAACCAGGTGGAGCGGGTGGTGGGGGTGGACCTGGGGGCGGGGGTGGGGCTCCGCCCGGTGGAGGTGGAGCGGCACCAGGGGGGGGCGGAGGAGGCGGGGGTGAGCCCGCTGGTGCTTCCATACTTGGGATTGGCGGGGGAGGGGGTGGTGGGATCGAGGGTGGTGTGTAAAATCCAGAGTCATCAGGAGCCACTGGAGACATATCGTTGGTTTCTCGTTCTTGTTCAAATTCTGGTTCCGACTCGGGCTCTGCTGCAGGTAGCGGAGGTGGAGGCGGAGGCGCAATTGGGCCGTCTTGAACCGGCGTCGCGGTTTTCGATTCCGACTTGTCGTCCATAGAGCTTAGCGGCCGTGGAGGAGCCATAGTACCGAAAAGAATACTTGCGAGTTGCTTCGCACTGCCGCCCGCGGCCCGATCGTCGTCTTCGTCCGATTCGTTCTCCGATTCTGCAACGGACCAATCGTCTTCTTCAGGACGAACTCGCGATTTACGTTCGAGCGGTCCAGGAACTGTTGCATCTGGTGAAAATGTAGATTTGGCGGTGGTTTCCTGCTGTGCTAGGCGATGGAATGGATTGGTTGATTGCATCTCAGGAGCAGCTTGAGGTACTTGAGAAGTTCCGAACTGTTGATTTTCTGAGGACTGGCTAAGTTGGCGGAAGTATGGGTTCCTGGACTCAGTATCCGGAGGCAAGGTTTGTTTGACAGACTCGGGAGTTACCGCGGGGCTTTGGAGCGTAGGTGTTTGTTCAAATTCCTCGTCTTGGATAGGCTCCTGAATCGCTGGAACGGGCGGTGCAGGCGGCGCCGCAAGTGGAGCTGGGTGAGAGACCGAGGGTGGTGGACCGAAATCATGAACACTGTCCTGGGCTGAAAGATCAATTGGGCCCTCATCATCCGAAGAAGACTCCTCGTCGCCCATGTTTTCAAGCTGGCGCTGAAGTTCTCGCTCCCTTGCCTGTGCGGCTTCAAGTTCCGCACGTTGTATTGCGAGGCGAGCTTCCTTTTCTTTTGCGTCTTTTTCAGCTTGTTGCTTACGACGTTTCTCTTCTTGCTTCTTTATTTTGCCCTGTCTAACTTGCTCCTCTAGGGCTTGAAGTCGAGCTTGAGCAGCCTGCTTCTCACGTGCAAGTTCCTCTTCCTGATACCTAGCTTCCTCTCTGTTGAGCTAAGTTAGCATTCTAGTAGCAGTAGTGTTAGTATGTGTGCGAACTTACTCAAGTCGTTTACGCTCAGCTCCTTGCGCTTCCTGTTCATGTCTTAGGATTCTTTCTTTCTCCTCTTGCTGCGCTTTGGCTCTAAGAGCGAGAGCAGTCTCTTCAGCCTTCTTCGCTTCCGAAGTTTCACTGCCGTCAGTCCTAGCTTTTCGGGACGGAGGCGGTGGCGGCTTTTTAGATGCGGGCTTGGGAGGAGGAGCTGCTGTTGCAGACTTCTCCTGGGCAAGGCGCCGTTGCCTCTCCGCTTCACGTTTCGCATCTTCTTCTTCAGCGCGCTTACGCCTCTCTTCCTTTTCTCGCCTCTCGCGTTCCTGGCGGTCCGACATGGATGGACCGGTATCGGAACTAGGTTTCAAACCTGCAGCAGCCATCCTTTCGGCAATGCGTTTTTGGGCACGCTCCCGTGCAGATAGAACACGCTCTTCGTGCGTCATTCCTGCAAATGAAGGAGATGTAGATGTAGACCGAAGGGGAGACGCCTCTCTTTGAGCATCACCGTTAGCAGAAGGACTTTTATATTGGTTTCCGGCGCGCAAGTAAGAAGAGCTATCGGCGCGGGATGCGCGTTCCCTGCAAAAAGTTAGTAAATTGATCAAATTAACAATGAACCCATATAAAAGCATAACTTACTCATCCTTGCGGATTTTCGCTGTTTTACGGTTCCGCTGCAAATCATAGATGAAATCTCTGATTTGATCCTCGACCCCGAGGGCTTCCTCCCAGCGGCGCCTCTCATGATCACGAGTAGAGTTTTCATCTTGGTCTTTTAGGTTATCTTCGAGGCTCAAAGAGAACTCCTTTACGCTCTCTTCAACCTCCCGAGTCATAGCATCATGGCGCTCTCGTTCGGCCATCACGCTTGCCTTTTCTTCTTCAAGGCGTCGTGTAGCGGATCCATCGTCAACCTGTGGCGGTGGTCGGCCTGCAAGCTCAGCTGCTCTAGCTTGCATCCTTGCACGGGCACGAGCTTTGATGCGATCCGCTTCTGTGATAGCACCACCAGGGCCTGTACCAATAATATCCATTGCTGTTCCAGGATGTAATTTTGCGTCCTTCAGCCGGAATAGCTCTAGCTTGCTATCTGCGATAGATCGTTCTAGCTTACGAACATCCGACGCTAATTGTGGTAATTGATCCTGGAAGGCTTGGAGTTGACGCCTTAAAGAACGCCGCTCAGCGCCGGCGTCAGCGTTCCGGAACGCCGCTTTGGGATCCGTGTCAATATCGTCTTGGACCCGTCGGATGCGTTCCATGAGAGACTCTGCCTCTCTCCTATCCCTTCGGTTGAGTACTTCGTCCTCTTCTGCGCGGCTTTCGTCCCTGAAATCCGTTGCGTCCAACATAATCTTTGTCTCGTGGATCTTTTTCTTCAATTGTTCAACAGGGAGGTCATCATTAACCTTCTCAGCCGGAGTGGAAGAAGGCGAAGGAGATGGGGTGCCGCCAGCACGGCGACGGGCGCTCGACTTGTACGCTGCTGCGTCGTCATTATTTTTGAAAACAGTCGCATCCTTTCTGCCAACTCCAGGGGACGCAGATCCGGTACGGAAAGAATGAGTTTTGAGATAACTAACTCCAGTTTTCTGCGGCTGGAGAAAAGCACCTGATGCCTTTCGCTGCTCTGCATCCTGAGACAACATAGATTTCACAGTACCGATGGAATCGTCAAGGTTTCGTTTTGAAGGAGGGATCAGCTCAGGAGGTAAACGATTTGGTATGGGATACCCGTTTAACTTTCTGTAAATCAAATGCATCGCAACAGCGAATTCATCCATATTCAAACGGCCCCGGTTGTAGGGGTCCGAAAGCGTCCAAATACGTTCCAAGTCTTGACGGTCCAAGCCACTCTGGCCCATGATTTCAATGGCTACATCGCCGCCAATGAAGCCTTTTCCGAGGCCGTCCCAAGCGCGGAACAACTGGTCATAAATCTTCTTTTCGTCTTTGGTTACAGCCCATGGAATAGTCGCGTTTCCAGAAAGGCCTGCTGTCGTATAGCCGCCTTCTCGACCAGGCTGTGGCATCAACCGCTGCTTCAATGCTTCAATATTCGGTAGTCCGGTAGCTGGTGCATTGACAAACCCCCACTGGCCCGGCATTCCTGTTGGCTGGGCGGTTAAGCCGGTTGCACCAGTTTGCGAGGGAGGTAAGTTCGAGCCAAACCCAGCAGGCATCGGCGGCATCGGAGGACGTGGCCCAGTATAGCCCGTCGCCTGCGGATTGGGTTGAAGTCCGGTCGGCTGCATTCGAAGAGAAGTATTTTGTGGAGGAAAGCCTGTCGGCTGGGGTGCAAGAGACGGCGGCTGAAACCCGGTTGCCTGGTTATAGAAGCCGGTTGGCTGCGCCGTTAGCTGCGACAAAAGCTGTGAATTAGAAGGCTGTTGAGGCTGTGGCTGCTGCGGAGCTGGTGGCGCGGACGTATTTTGCATTAAAGGCTGCTCAAAACTGGGTACGTTTGTTTTCGGCACAGCGGGAGGGTGGTCATCCGGAACAGCGAATGAAATGATATCCACCATGCTGGATACTTCGTTTCGAACTCGTTCGGGGAGCATCGAAGGGAGTTCACGGCCAGTTAACCGCAGATTACATAGGTACATAGCCAACGCAAACTCCGGGAAAAGAAGGTGCCCCGACTTTGTGGTGTCAGATAAAACCCAAATCTTCGACAAATCGCTCCCTGGTAGCTTCGAGCGCAGAAGGAGATCCCTTGCCGTATCACCGTCCATTGATTGCCCATCTCCAACCGCAGATTTGAAAAGCTGCTCAAATTTCGCCTGGTCTTGCGATGTAATGAAGGAAAGGCGCATATTCGGGATCTTCGACGTCGAATGGGGCTGAGGTGCCTGAGGAGTTGGGGTAGAGCTTTGTTGGAACGATTGCGCGATCTGTGAAGAGGTCTGACCAGCAGGGCGGGAAGGCATTGGGGGTGCAGCAAGCGACTGTTGTTGCGTCGCTTGTGGCTGTTGCTGCTGTTGCTGAAAGGGGGAAGCCTGGTTCTGTGAAGGATACCCCGTCATCTGCGGAGGTTGGGGAGGCGGTTGGAACGACGATTGCTGAAATGGGCCTCCGGGAAATCCGGTAGGTTGCGGTTGCATCGACTGCATCTGGCCGCCCGCAAAGCCTGTCGGCTGCGGCGCAAACCCAGTGGGCTGCTGCTGCTGTTGCTGAAAACCTGCAAATGGCTGCTGAGGTTGGCCATACTGCGGTTGGCCAGCGCGAGCCGCATTGGGGTTCAAGAAGGAATTGGAAGAGGAATACATGGCGTCAGCAAAACATTAGCAGCTAGAGACAGAGTGAAAAAGAAACCACAGAACGAAAAACAGTCCAGACAACGAGGTTGAGAGCGTGCAACAAGACGATCAGGTCAAGGTCAAGGGGGACGAACCAACACGGGCGGCGGGCGGCGGCTGTCGGTGAGACACTAGGCCGCATTTGGCATAGTTGGCTGGCATCCATATCACTACATTGAAGCCTACTTATGGCAGTAGATATTTTCCGAAAAGCAACTCGAATCGTCATTTTTCGGTGTTATTTTACATAATCGGATCGAACATGAGATCCAGAGATAAACAAACGGACCATCAGAATCAGAACCCACACAGCCATGCAACTCAACGCCTTTCATCAACTAATAGCTACCAAATCCGCATTGCGCCGTGATTATTCCGTCTGGCCGTTCCACAATTTGAATCAGGGTAGAAGTAGTTCAAACTCCATTCTGGGCATTCTGCTGCTGGGGCGCGGTGCTGGCCATCTTCCGTAGTTCGAATTCCTTTGTAAACTCGCGGCTGAGGGTACCGAGGTCCTTGACAAGCTCATGGCAGGCAGTGAGAACGGCATCTTTTGGAGTGATGGTGCCATCGGTCTGAACGCGAAGCATGAACTTGTGCACAAGTGGATGTGGAACCTGCCCATTTATTAGCGCGAACTGACGGCATCGGTCGCCCAGGACGTACCTTGTATCCGGCAAATTGGACATGTTGGCTCTTAAGAAGCTGGGAGCGAATCAGATTTCCAAGAGTGTGATCCTCCTTGTTGAAGGTGAAGATCGCGGTGGAAGGGAGACCTGGCAACGGCAGTTGATAGTGTTGGTTATCCCGCTGCAAAAACAGTGTGGAAGCAAGGATAGGACTTACGGGTATCGGGCTCCATCTCGACCTTCTTCTCGCCGGGGCCGAGAACAAAAGATTCAAATCTAGCCATCAAGGCAAGTTCAGCATCTAATCAATAAAACGCGTTCGCAGAAGTACAGGCCCAAAGCACATCAACGAGGGTGACAAAGGTGAAAAGTAAGGTAGTCGAAGCAACATGGGGACAGAAGAATCTAACGTGTTAACCAAGTCTTTCACCGGGCGAACCTTGGTCCTACAAGGGTTCTGGCGATAACTTGCCCCGGTGTTATCGGCATAAAAACGGGAAGGGTTTCGCTCGTCGGCCACCATGGCTGCGAAATATCAACAGCGCGGACAAGAAGAGGACTCAACAAGACGATATAAAGGTCTGGGACAAAGGTATGGCAAGGAGCAGGTCAAAAGGCAGTCAAATATGCAGAAATGACAGTTGCCAGAAACATCGCAAGGGAGGAAGGCGTGCACAGAAAGGGCCGAAATCAACAACAGGTTCGAACGTGCGCGGCGGCAACGCAACATTGTAAGCAGACCAGGCCGCTCCGGCTAAAGACTTCCATAACGAGCTCAACAGGTTTGGGTCTTAACAATCCAACCCCATGATTATCTTGCAGCAACCAAAATTGAAAAAAGGCTCCTTACCTATCAGGTGCATTCATCTTGAATCCAAAAGGAGATTACAATACCCAAAAGATAAATAGGAATATGTGAGAGTTGGTTAAAAGGAAAACAAGGAGCCAGAGGCAAGGGTACTGTGGGAGGTAAGAGGCCTTCTGTGGACTCTAACAGGAGAATTAAAAGGGACAATAGAGCAGCCTGGGGGAGATGTATAGCTTGTGCTCCCACAACGAAGCAAGTATACAGGGTCGAATATTCGGAGCTTCCTCCTGCCCCAATAATGCAGGGCTCTGGAATGGGGTATCAAAGAAAAGATATCCTGGGAATACGAGTATCTCGAGAGGGATACTGTGATGCGAAAAGTGCGCAGCACTACTCGTATCAACTGAGACGGCAAGGAACCGTGTGGACGAAGAAGAAGCCGATGATATCAAAATTTCATCGCCTTCAAGCCAGAATCAACTCCAGCGAAGAGCGTGGCGGACATGCTGCTTACGTAATCCCACTCCCCGGATCGAGACCGCATCGAACACGGTAACTTAACCGCCGTGATGGCCCAGCAGAACGCGGCATTCAATTTTGAGGGCGCTGCTCCGGAGGCTTCATTATTAATCAGTCATCACCTGTTGCTGCTGTGAGCAGCAGGACTTTGTCCGACATCCAACTAGCTCGCCGTCCGGAAGGTGCCCGCTGAGAAGAAATGTCTCTCCCGTCACTTCGGACCAAACGCGAGACCCATCCCCAATTCTACTAATGGCGTAACTAGACTTTCCGCTTCTACTACAAATATCCCATTACTCAAACCCCACCCGAGGGAGAGAACGACCTCTACAAAAGGACTAATAAGCAGCGAAACCACCACATAGCAATTCACGATCATGGCTTCAATAGCCGCTCGAACCGCGCTCACAGCAGCCTACCCATGGACCAGGACCCCTCTCGTCACCAGCGCGCCAATGCTGCGCATCGCGCTCGCCCCCCTGGCCGTTGCAGTGTCTCGCGCCGGCGGTTTGGGGTTCCTAGCGGCCGGCTTCGACATGGCGGATCTCGAGGCCAACTTTCAAAACGCCGTGCAGTTGGTCCGTCAGTGCCAAGTCGACAAGCCAGATTTTACCGGTGCCGACAAGGACATATTGCCTGTCGGGGTCGGATTTCTGAACTGGGGCGCGGATATCAGCCAGGCGATCCCGCTGATTGCAAAATATATTCCCGCGGCAGTATGGTTGTTTGGGGCTGCACGCCCCACGGAGGAATTATACAGTCAGTGGGCCAAGCAAGTCCGTTCCGTAACGCATGGCAAGACGAAGGTATGGGTACAGATTGGAAACGTCGCAGATGCCCTGAACATCGCCCGCTCTGTCAAACCGGATGTGCTCGTCGTCCAAGGCTCTGATGCCGGCGGACACGGTCTTAAGCAGTCTGCGAGCATCATCTCGCTTCTCCCCGAAGTGAAAGATGCGCTTGACGCCGAGGGTTTTGGAAACACCCCGCTCATCGCGGCGGGGGGGATCGTCGACGGTCGTGGTATGGCTGCGGCGTTGTGTCTAGGCGCCGAGGGCATAACCATGGGCACGAGGTTTCTGGCCTGCGAGGAAGCGAATATCGCGTCGGGATATAGAAAGGAGATTCTCCGCGTGCAAGACGGGGGGATCGTCACCGGGAGGACAACCGTGTACGATCGCGTGCGGGGGATAAACAAGTGGCCCGAGGAGTATGACGGGCGTGGCGTGCTCAACGAAAGTTATAACGATGCAGAGAAAGGCATGTCCGACGAGGAGAATCAAAGACTGTACGGGATTGAGATGAAAAAGGGCGACGATGGATGGGGTCCCACTGGCCGAATGACGACGTATGCAGGCACCGGCGTGGGACTAGTAAAGGAGGTCGTTTCGGCGGGCAAGATTGTTGACGATGTTCTGAGTCAAACTACGAGAATATTGCCGAGATCCAGTATGACTTGATGCAGTATCAAGTCGCCATTTTATGCGCGAGTTTACAATCAAGACTTGTACTATGGAGGTGTGCTTCACCTTTGATGCAACTTAATAATGGTCATGCGCAAGGCGCAATGGTTCATAGATCTGAGGCACTCTCACGTTTTTGAGCTAGGTAGCCCTTTTGAACCTGTATTTCGCCGGCAGGAGTATGTATAGATTAAAAAGATGTACATACATTAGGTGCATAACACTACGAAACCCAATATCTCTATGCAAAACGGAAACGACATTAAAACAAGACCATATTCCTCAGCAAATCCAAATAGGCTCAAAATGTAGACATAAAAAGCAGGCACGTAAATACAGGAAAAAGGCACTGTTCCCAACTCAGCAGCATATGTATTATTTCAAAAGAAAAAGGAAAAGAAAAAAATTTAACTCAAGTCTTGCCTTTTTCTCTCATTTCCCTTTTTGGGTCGTTGATAGGATCGCACAATGTTCAGTGATAAGATTATCTTCCAGTCCACAATTACCAAGAACAAATTTCCTAAAGCTGTTTTCCATGGAACAAGTCACCAATCGTAGATGCCCCCTTTTTGAAACGCCATCCGTTCTTTTTCTTCTCTCTGGCTTTGGCCATCTCCGCCCAGCCTTCGTCATCATCGTCATCGTCGTCGACATTTTTTGCCGACAAAACCAAGCCACTTGTTGGTCTAGGCGTGGTGGTCAAGGGGTTTGGTCTGGGTTGCGGGCTTAAGGATGCAAATGTGGAGGACCGCGCATCGTTTGACCATGGGCGAGGTGTAGATGACGTGAAAGTCGATGAACGCCTGTTCTGAGCCAATGGTACAGTAGACACAGGGCGATACCTCGAGGCTGTGCCTACATTGCTCCGTTCTGAAGGCGCCACAGAAGGAGCGTAGCCTGGAGCACCCATGGGACCATATTGCCAATTTGGCTCATATCATGGGTAGGTGGTAAGAATGCGGACTGCCGGTTCCATTGCGAAGTGGACGGGTCAAGCATACTCAGTGTTCTCTGATCTACCTGAGGTGGACCAGGTTGAAATGCATTGAGGTTTGATAACATGGACATAGGACGCTGGTTTGGCCCAGGAGGCTGCAAGAGATTTGGATTGGTCATTTGCATAGGTTGAAGTTGCAGACTTTGCATCTGCATCATTTGTTGCATCCACTGAATCTGCATTTGCATCATTTGGGTCATCTGTTTGTGTGAGTTGGATTTGGCTCTGATCAGGAGGGGCTGGCGCATTGTGAGGTGCTCCAATCTGTGAAATAAGACCAGAACTCATGCCCCCCAGGTTTAATTGATTCATTGCTGACGTGGTGTTGGGCATATCGAAGCTCACATGAGCGTTAGGGCTCCCTCTTCTCATCGCTCTTGCGCGCTCCTCGTTCGCTATCATTCCTACCAGGCCGCCGGGTGGCATCGCGGGGGTTTGTCCACCATGGACGGATGGCGTACCGCCCCCGAGAGCGAGGGACTCCCTCTGCGGCTGGTTGACAAGGCCTGCACCGTAATATGGATCTTGAGGAAGGTTTCGCGCGAAAACCGGGAGAGTTTTGCGTTTTGGCGGCAACTCGCCTACAACCGAGGGCGGGCTTGCTATGTAAGAAGACCGAAGGTTTGGATTGGAACTCGAGGTCATTAGTTGCGAGGGAGGCCGATTCCTGCTTGGAAATCCATGAGCGGCGAGAATAGCAAGAGGTACATCATCGTCGTCATCGCCATCAGTGCTCTTCGCATTGGGAGTGGGCTCTGGAATCAATACTGATTGACGGTTGGCGTTTGCTGGCGGGGTAGCGGCTTCCAGGCTCTCGCGTTTCGTTTCGAGGTTAGGTACCTTCATTTGTTCTCCTGTAATCTTCATCATTTGTTGTCTATACACTGAAAGATGAGCCTCTTGCTTTTTCCTCTGATTAGCTGCCTGGCGCTTCTTCTCTGCCTCATCCTCCTCCTCTTCGCTCTCATGATCCGAGGAGTCGGAATCAGAATCATTGTTTTGTTGCCTGGTCAATTCTTGCTGCTCTCGATACCGTTCAAACTGGGCTGGTGTCATTACCTTCTTCGGCTTTTCGTCGTTCTTCATGGCAACTTCCTCATAACGAGCAGCTAGACTGGCTTCGGCGCACAGGGACTGCTCGTTTTGCTTGGATCCAATGGGCCTTATGCTCGACATGGACTGCGGAGCCCGATGATTGAGTGGGACGGTAGTAAAGTCTTTATCGCTGCCATACATGGACGACACTTCAGGGTCGGCAGGCGCCCGAGGACTCTCAACCATAAAGGTTGGCATTGGGGGTCTGTTTGGCGTCAGGGTTGCATTGCTCGAACTGAGGGAGCCATTGGTGTAGCTGGCGTTTGTGTTCGAGGTTAAGTTCCTTCCTCCGAGGTGGCTGTATTCGTTTACATTCCTGTTCCTTTCGTCGGAAAATCGGACTGTATTATGATGAGAATTATTAGAGGATGTGGACGTCCTCCCTTCGGGGGAGGCTGACCCCATCAACCCGTCTCTTGAAGTCTGGCTATCACTTGGAGATGGTGTGGGGATCGAGTTTGAAGGCCGATCGATACGAATGGGAGATAACAGGGACGAGCCATTTGGATGTTTCCCTTTGGGAGGTACTTGCGGCCGCTCAGAAGAGGGGAGCTATTAGAATTAACAATGTGATTAGCGGATAGTTAAAAAGAAGCGAGGCGGGACGTAAGGAGAGTCATACATTCGACGCGGAACTAGAAGAATTTGCTTCTTGAAGCTGGGTTTTCCGGCTGTCGAGACCCGCAAAAATGTTCGAAAAAGTCATCGGATGAACCGAGGTTTAGATCGGATTCTAGCAATCTTGGGGGAGTGGCCGTGCTGGTGGTGCTGGCCGTCATTGCGCGTTCCCTAGCCATGGAGTGAGACTGGCGCGGCGTAGTCTGATTCGGTGGTACAATCTTTGGTGGTTTGGTGCCAAAGGAAAAGGTCCTTCCAGCGGCGCGTAGTGCCGACGCAAAGGATGATTCGGGAATTGGAGGAACGGTGATGTCGTGGGTGGAATTGTCCGAGGGCAAGGTGGAAGACGAGCTAAACTTGGCTGAGGAGGAGCTGTCGTACAGTCTGCCGGTAGAGGAGGAATTGTTGGTTCCTCCGCTCCCAGTTGAGCCGGTCAGCTTGCCCGCGCGGGTTCTTGCTGGTTGGGGATCGGGAACATATTGGCTGCCGGTGGACGGTCTTTCAATGCCTGCAAATATATTGTCTGGATAAGGATCGTCCAGTGAGGCTTCCCTGTGGCTTCCGCTCATACGCTGCAGGGCGCTGCTGCCATCAAACGACTTGCTGGGTCCGTGTGGGCGCTCGAAGACACGAAAGGAGGGTTCCACGGGAGGCTGTACTTCTTCCAAAGCATTTCCAGATGACTTTCGACGCGCAAAACCCTTGGGGAGTTTAATCGGCATGGAGAAGGAGATTTGTGTTCACAGAGGATGGTTTGGGGCAGTCAGGAAGCTTTAAACGCAATGGGCGAACCAAGGAACCAAGCCAGGGGGTGGTCCAAAAATTCCGACCCGCACAACGTGTCTCACCCGAATTGCTGAAGCTGTCAACGGGATAGTCCAAGCACGAGCTATGAGGACATATAGGGCGCAAGAAGGGGAGACGACTATTAGAAGTTCGACGCTGGCTGAGGTCAGAAACGAATGCTTAGCGAGTTGTGCGCGGGAACGCGAGGAGACAACAGAGATGGGAGGTTGTTGGGGGAGGGCAGGGAGAGAGAACGCAGAGGCTGCAAGGGTTCAAAAGGAGAAACCTCGAGAAATCAGGCGACATTGTTGGCCTGCTGCAATGCAAGAAAACAAAAGACAGGCGATTCTCCTCGATGCCTCGGGAGGGTGGAGCAGGAACAAGCAGAGACGACGAAGTTCAGGCCAGACGTACCTTGCAAGGGTGTGGAGATGAGCCCAATTTTCCCAAACACCGCCAGAAGCTGATGATATTAGCGAGAGGGATGGAAAAGGGGAGCCGAGCGACGGGACCAGGAGAAGCGAAGTTGACTCGGCTGGAGGACGATGTGAACCTTGCAGAGCTCGACTCTAAGACAGGAGCCAGTGCTGGAGGCGGCGGTAACAGCAGAGAGTGTCGAGAGCAAGTGAGGATTAAGATTATTATTGATTGATTGATTGATTAAAAATAAAAGATAGAAATAGGGCTGCTTTGTCGTGAAAGAGTCAGAGAAGAGAGAGCAAGAGGGCTAGTCTTCAGTCCGGGGCCTGGAGTGGCTAAGAAAGTGGTGAACCTGGCTGGAAAAAAAAAATCGCCAACGCAATGCAAGAGCAGGGAAGAGAAGGACAAGAGATGGATTGATAGCTATGTAACTAACAGACTTGGTTACGGATGTGCTGGTGGTGGAGAGATTGTATAACAATCAAGACGCCATTCCCTTCAAAACAACGAGAGCAATCATCAGAAGCCAGAGGATGCCAAACACAGTGAGAGCAGAACAGCACAGAAACCCCCGGGTTGGGTAGTGAGGGTTCTCTGGTTAACTAGTTAACTAATAGCCCAAACCGATTGGCGTGTCAGGGTCAGCCGGGCGGGCTGGCTTAACTCCACGATCGGTGGCGAGCTCTGCAAATTATCGACCTCTCAGCGCCAGATGGCTTCGTTGACTGTGACAGCCCGGTGACGCCGCATCCAAAGTCACGGATATTCACACCCTCACTCTGTGACACCAGCGCAGGACTGCTCACTGCATGACCCCATTTGCCTCTCGTGTTTTCTAGAACCTGCCCTGGCATCGCACAGAGACGCTGTTGAAGATGCCCGTCAGGCCCAGCCAGCCAATCGTCCAGCAGCCACCAATCGCGGTCGAGACCACCTCACGTGCGGAAATTCCTGCCGAGCAGCCCAAAACGCACGGCCAGTAGAGACAGCGGCGTCTCGCGCTGCTCAGAGTCGAGTTACACAGCGCCAGCCCGGTTAAGCGTTTTTCACGACTGGACGTCACAGTGCGGCAGCATACAGAACGGCGAGCACTGCGGGCCATCGAGGTCAAGCACGTCAAGCACTGATCGGTCATGTTTCATTTCATTGCTCTTGGCATTATCATACACACAGCACACACGCCTGCCAGGTACCCAGCGCGACAACAGGGCGCACCCCAAGTAGACTGAAGCAAGTCGTATTTAATAACTACGCTCTCATCCCGTACCCCCACCCTCCACCGTCCCCTTCAACCTGCCAGGCCATCCTCAACCGCAATCGAATTGTGCGCCTTGACCCCGCCAATCAGCGCAACCCCCGCGGGCACTTGCGGGTTGCGGATGTTGAAGCATGCAAATGCAATCACCTTGGTCAACGCCGGGCAGCTCTTGAAAATGCAATTGACCAAGAAATCATCCGCCTTTGTCTGGAACGAGATGTCCAGCTCCTTGAGCTTGCCATACCTCTGCTTTCCGTCGAACACGGAAGCCAAAGCGTCAAACGACACGTGCCTGCACGAGCTGATGTTGAGCCTCTCGATCCCGTCGCCCGAATGCTGCATCAATGCTTTGAACCCTTCCGAAGCAAGGCCAACGGGCTCCTCTAGTCCGTCCGGCATTGCGTTATCGATGTGGCGCGCTCCGCTGAGGTCAACAAAAGATAGCGGTGGAGTCTGCCACTCCGTAAACAGATGCGCGTAACCCTTGTCGGTGCAGGTAGAATTGTTTGTAAATCGGAATTTGGTCAACCGCCGGCATTGCTCGCGGATCGTGGCCAACGTCTCATCGTTTGCATTCTTGAACCCCCGCAACGACAACGTCTGCAGTTTGGCCCCGACCTTTTGGATGAGCTGCGTGATGCTTTCTGACTCGGTTTCCTGCATCAAATCCAAGGAAAGATGCTCGAGTTTGGCCAACGTGGAAATCGACTTCAGCGACTCGTTTCCGGGTTTCCAACATTCCCGGAGCTTCAATCGACGGAGATTAGGGCAATTCTGGACCATGAGCCCGATAGTTTCATCCCCGACGGAGCAATCCAGATTTGAGAGTCTCAAGCTCTCCAGTTTGTTTCCGCAGGTTTGGAAGAGCTTCTGCCAGCATCCATCGGATACAAGGTTGCACGAATCAAGGTGCAACTGCTTGATATGTGACTCTCGGCCCATGATGTATTCCAAGGTCGAATCTTTGATCTGGCTGGCACAGCGGAGGTTGACCTTTTCAAGATATGGCATAAAGGCGAATATTTTCTCGAAATCTTCTGTTTCAAGTTCTGCACGTCCTGTTAGCACACCGATTGCTTTTCAAGTGAAGCAAAGCGTAGAACCCACTGGCGCAATCATAGATGTCAATGCTGGTAGCATCGCTGTGGAGGAAAAGACCCAATGTTCTCGGGGTCATCGCGCGCCTCTTTGAAAGAATCTGGCTCAGCCGATGAAGAAGGGTCTGTGGTAGGTCCCCGAACTCTTCAATGCCATGGATATTGTCCGCCACTTTCTATTCTGATGTTAACAAACGAGGTTCGAGGAGCGCCTCGCGCAGTCAGAAATTCCATACCTTGATGCACATTTCCAACAAGCTGAATGCCCCACGCTGTGCGATACCGTCCAGCAGATTGCTATTGTTCTGACGACGCCCCCTTTTCGAGGGTTTGAGGGTCTTTCCTTTCGCCTTCTTTTCTTCCGCTGTCTGTTGTTTGGAACATTGCGTGCAGAGCAGCCCACCGGCAGGGCCAGTCTTGCTATACGGCGTGACAGTGAACCGTTTACTGCAGTTCTCGCAGTTTGCTAGCTGCCCTGGCACTGACTTTTTCTTCTGGTACATCATTTTCCCCAGAAGCTCGTCGTCATCCTCACTGTCTCCCTGATCGGCAGACCGCTTACTCTTCTTCTTGGCTTTGGCTTTGGCGGCCGCGGTAGTCTTGCGCGTCCGTTTCCTCGTAGCCTCAATCTCCTCATACACCGAATCCTCCTCTTCCGGATCAGGCGCATCAACGCTGTTTTCTACTTCATCTTGCTGAGCTGCCGTCTCCACGCGCCGGCGATAACTGTCACGAATTGCGGCAGCGGAAATGTTATGTGACTATCCAGTTGGCAAATGCGGTTAGCTTATGTTCATTGGATATAATAGAAGATGGAGCGAAAAAGGCTCACCGCAAGGAAGTCAGTTAAAGCCGAATGACTATATATCGAGTAAGCCTTCAATACTTTGTAAAATGGCATTCATCGCAAAATACATACGGCCCCTGTATATTCCTCCTTGATCGTGTATTGTTCGCCCTATTCATCGCTGGTCAGCAAGACCCAATCTCAGATATCGGCACCATTATCCACACAAAACGGGCTTTTCATACATTGTCGAGTGACAGAGCTCAGCAAATCCGTCACCTCACCCCGCGAATGGTGAAGACAATCAAATCTGAGCAGCCCTCAAAGCCTCGTCGTCTCAAAGTCGGCTTCCTTAATTGGATTCTGCACCACGTGATCGCGCGCAGCGTGTTCCGAAATTTCAGGCCACGCGTTGGTCTGAGAACGACGCCGACAAGGCAGCAGCCTGCCAAACCACCACTGATTGGATTGCCAACGCCTCGGTCGTCCTTCGCTTTCTCACTAGGAGGTTTCTTTCACTGCAAACCGGCAATCATTGGCTCGCGAATCTCAGAGCCCCCTGAGAGAGATTTGTCAGGCAAGGCCTGGAAATGTACTCTTAAGTTCTCTGAAGGTCCAAGGATGCCAATGAGGGTCTCACTCGTCAATGTTCTTGTGAAAGAATTTTTCCTTGGAGATCTTGTCATTCAGGACCATTTCTGTTCTTAGTTTCCGTCATCAACCTGGAGAGTTCCGTCCAACACTGAGAAAAATCTGATTGGGAAAAGCACTTCAGAGCCTGATTCCACAACCATCCAGAAACATGGCCCCAAGAAAAGGTATTTATCACACTCGCGGATCCAAACCTCCAGCTGGATACCAATTCTGACCCTCGCGACGTTGTAGGAAAAACGCCAAAAGCAGCCCCAAGGGACCGTGTCCGTCCTAGCCCTGTCGACCAAAACCCAATGGCAGTACCCAGCCTCGATGGACAGTCCCTGAATCCCCGAAGATCCTCCAGGATTCGGGCCGTTGCTGTTGAGATACCAAAAATGACCGTTTCGTCTATCAGTTCACCAGCAGCAATGTCGGAAAGTGAAAGTGCCCAGAGCAATTCGAATGTGTATAATACACCAGCAACAACTACACTCCCTACACCTATCGAGTCCGATAGCATGCCTTCTAGACGCCCGAAAAGGGTCAGCGCATCAGCCCGTGCATTGGAGCTACAAAACAGCTCGTTTGGTCTTAGATCTGGCCGCAAAAGGAATGCTGCAGAGCTAACTGTGCAAGAGTCTCTCACCGAAAGCACCGACGCCCGCTTAGCCTTGGCTTTGCAAGCGGAGGAATATGGAGAGGAGCACGATATCAAAAGAAGAAAGACGTTTAAACCTCCTACTAACCGGAGAAGGGTTGAAAACTCCACCGATGGAGATTACGACGAGCTGGAAGATATCAGCTTTGGACTTTCAGCCCGTCAAAACATGGACAAGCGCCCCATGTCTCCTCCCCGAAACTCAATTCCCACAACTGAATCTGACCTTATTATTAAAAGTAAATCGGCTAGAGATCGTCAAAATGTGTCCCATGGTTTAGAGTCTTACTTAGAACTTGACGACGGTTTTATTACTGACCCCGAGGGGCTGCTGAATGATGATGATTACTATGACTTCTACAACTATGACGATTCCGACAGCCCCGAAGACCGCCTGTCTTTAGGCGGTGGCTTTGGCTCTGACTCTGAGAATTCGGATTCTGCTGCGTTCTTTTCTCTACTTCCGCGGCACTCGAGATTTCGACCGAAACGACTTACACGGGTAAAGGCTCAATGCTTATTCTTTATTGACTGTCAAATGCGTTATTAACCATCTTATAGGCCGAAAGGGAGCGAAAGAAGCTCGAAGAACAACATCCGAATGTTGCTACGATGTGGGAAGACCTACAAAACATTCCAATTATTACTCCTGCCCCGGCGCCACAACCTGCGGGTATTTCTCGGAAGCTCAAACCATTTCAACTTGAAGGACTGAGTTGGATGAAGCAACAGGAGCAGTCGCAGTGGAAAGGAGGCCTCCTTGGAGATGAAATGGGAATGGGCAAAACTATTCAAGCCGTTTCACTCTTGATGTCTGATTATCCTGTTGGGGTTCCGTCCCTGGTGGTCGTCCCGCCTGTTGCGCTCATGCAGTGGCAGTCTGAAATCAAGGTTTGCAAACCATCCTCTCGCTCTTCTGGCCAAAGCTAAACTTCTACGCCTAGTCGTATACCGACGGTAAATTAAAGGTTTTCATCTATCATGGGTCCAACTCCAAGGTGAAAAACATCACCGTGAAGGAGCTGAAATCTTATGATATCATTATGATATCCTGTATGCTCCCTTTCCATTCAGTTTGCTACGCCAAAAGACCAATGATCTAACCCAACGTTAGATTCTGGCCTTGAGTCAATGCATCGCAAAGAAGTGAAGGGGTGGACTCGCGGCAAAGGTCTTGTGAAGGAAGATAGTAAGTCGTTAACCCTTGGGGAAAACCGCCCCAAGTATGGCTAACAGAACTCAGGCATCATCCATTCCATCCACTTTCATCGTCTTATCCTAGACGAAGCACATAATATCAAGGTATGAATCCGATCCTACCGTCCCGCCCTACCTTTCAGCTAATGATCCGGACCCAGCAACGTACCACCAGTGTAGCCAGAGCCTGCTTTGCTTTAAAAGCTAATTATAAATGGTGTCTGTCGGGCACACCTGTCCAAAATCGGATCGGTGAATTCTTCTCACTTTTGCGTTTCCTCGATGTCAAGCCTTTTGCTTGTTATTTTTGCAAACGATGCCCGTGTGAAGAACTGCATTGGTCCCAAGACGAGCTCAAACGCTGTGTTCACTGCAAACATACGTAAGTCAATATCAGAATTTAGAAGTCTATATCAGCAGGTATATTGATACTAGGTAGGGCTTCGATCATGTTTCCGTATTCAATCAAGAAATTCTCAATCCCAGTAAGGCGACTCTCCCCTGTGATATCAATCGCGTCCCTAACTGGCTTGCTCTAGTTTCGATGCCTGGACTGCCTCTAAAGCGAAAAGCTGCGCTTGCTAAGTTACGACACATCACCGATAGAATCATGCTTAGACGCGTGAAAAAAGACCATACAGCGTCAATGGAGCTGCCGCCGAAGAGGTACGCATTCAGAAATACTAATATACGGGACAACTTAATAACTTGCTTCAGGGTTGAAATCCATAACGAATTCTTTGGCGAAATCGAACGGGACTTTTCTAGCAGCATCATGACTAACAGTGCCAGGCAATTCGACACATATGTCAGCCGTGGGGTCATGCTGAACAATTATGCAAACATTTTCGGTCTCATTATGCAAATGCGCCAAGTGGCGAATCACCCCGATCTAATTTTGAAGAAACATGCGGAAGGAGGCCAGAACGTTTTGGTTTGCAGCATCTGTGATGAGCCCGCCGAGGAGGCCATTCGCTCTCGTTGTAAACACGAATTCTGCCGTCAATGCGCGAAGGAGTATATCCAGTCATTTGAATCGCGCGGAGAGCCAGATTGCCCTCGATGCCATATACCGCTTTCAATTGACTTTGAACAACCGGATATCGAACAAGAAGAAGGTGAAGTTAAAAAGAATTCAATCATCAATCGTATTAAGATGGAGGATTGGACCTCGTCAACGAAGATCGAGATGCTGGTCTATGATCTCTACAAATTGCGAAGCAAGAAACAAACTCACAAATCCATTGTCTTCTCACAATTCACGTCAATGCTACAGCTCGTCGAATGGCGACTTCATCGGGCTGGGATTAGCACAGTTATGCTCGATGGCAGCATGACGCCTGTCCAACGCCAGAAGTCGATTGATTATTTTATGAACAATGTCGACGTGGAAGTCTTCCTCGTGTCTCTCAAGGCTGGAGGTGTTGCGCTCAACCTGACGGAAGCATCACGGGTATTCATTGTTGACCCGTAAGTCGAGTCCCCCTCTCCGTCCCCTTCTTTTACAGCTCAACATACTCACTAAAGTAGGTGGTGGAACCCCGCGGCTGAGTGGCAGAGTGCGGATCGGTGTCACCGTATCGGGCAGCGTCGGCCGTGTGTGATTACGAAGCTTTGCATTGAAGACTCTGTCGAGTCTCGGATGGTGTTGCTCCAGGAGAAAAAAGCGAATATGATAAATGGCACTATTAACAAGGATCAAAGCGAAGCGCTGGAGAAACTGACGCCAGAAGACATGGAATTCCTGTTCCGTGGAAACTAAGTGATGACAGGCGAAAGGCACCATGTTAGGGGGGCCATGGTCAATGCAACCTTCAGGAAATCCAGATGCACATTTAGGGCAGCGTTGGCGTTGATTCTCATTCGATATCGGATATGACGGGTCAGGCGGCTTCAGTCTTGGTTCAGGGACATAGTGAGGGAGTAGTTACTGGGTTAAGATGTGCACGTCGATATGAATGTGGAGCAGTTTGTTATCTATCTGAGAAATCAATGCCATACAAGTGTCATACTCGAGGCCAGGGTTCATGACTTATATGTTGTTTCTATTTTCAAGCCGCCGTCGTTCCCATTCTTCCCTCCGAAAACAGATGGTGGCTCAAATCCTCTCGCTCACAGCACCTTACGTGGCTTGTGTCGAGGGCCCACCGGCTAGCTCCGAACCAAGGCCTCCGATTGGTAGAATTGGAGCTCAACGACGTATTGTCACGTACTGTCAGGCTGCTCGTGTCACCAGCCACACACTCCACTGACGAACGCAACCGCTGCTGATTGGTCGCCCAGCAGGGCTCCACTCAGGCTAAGCTTTTCAGGTGACCAGAGCGTTTGAGGCTTGACCAATGGCTGGTGTGGCTGAAGCCCCGCTTGCACTGTTATTCCCAGCTGGGCAAGTCCGACTTGAGTCCTTGCACTCGTTCACAAGATGGGAAAAGTGCGCGCATCCTTTACGGCCGCAGACGTGTTCAGGCAGTGGATTGCGCGCTCAAACTTCTCATATAGCTGGCCCCGTCGCTCGTTGTGCCTTTGACCTCTGATTCTGCCTCCATGAACACATCTCTTGGCTTCTGTTTGCCCCTGCTTATTTTGACAGCCTCCTACGTCAGCATTGACAGAAACCCCCCAACTAATGGCTTCGACCCAGCAAAATGGGAGTCAGACTGCGCACAACGGCCATGAGAGCACATCTGTTGCGGAGAAAATCATGAGCCACAGCTCCAAAGGCCCTGCCGGCGGATTCGATGACACGCCAATCCCCAGCGCCCCGCCCGGCTTTACCCTCAAATTCACAGTCCACCGGGCGCAAAATCTCCCGCTGGGGGATTTTAGCTCTTTATCCTCAGACCCCTATGTATTGATGATTCTGGGCACGGCTCTGCCGCGTCGGCATAAACAGGATCCCGACTTGACTTTTCGGACTCCTACTGTCAGAAAGGACATCAACCCCGTTTGGAACTGCGAGTGGATCGTGGCCAATGTCCCGGCATCCGGGTTCAATTTAAAATGCCGCGTATATGACGAGGATTCGGCCGATCACGATGACAGGTTGGGCACAGCTTATATTGATGCGGACAGTATCGATGAGCACTGGAGCGGTTTCAAGGAGCAGCATTTTAAGGTCCGGAAAAAGACCGGAAGTAATAGGGCGTATCTATTGCGGTCCATCGCCGCAACTGTTTCCAAGAATTTCAGTTCAAAGGGGGAGCTTATTGTGAGCGTTGAGTGTCTGGGTAAAACCCCAGGAGATAAAGGAGGCCAAATCTATACAGTTGGGCCGAATCACTGGACCCGCCATTTCTCCCCCATGATTGGGAGGCTGGTTGGGACCAAAGATTCCGTCCAGTCGTCGACAGGCAACAAGCCCACGACCAGGTACAAGTACGTATCAACCCCAAGAAGGGCCCTCATGTGGAAACTACTAATGCGTTCCCTGCAGTTTTCAAGCCATTCAAATCCAACTGGCAGGGCCAGTGCCGTCGAAACTTTACCATCGATATGTCGAATTCAAACCCTTTGTTGCCGGGATGTTCAATGCTCGAAGTATCCGTGGTCGTCTTCTCAACCATGCACTCCATCATCAACACGCCAGAATCTATACTTTTGACCGATCCACCACCCACGGCTCATTTCCCTCGCCGTGCGTTGAACTTACGCAGCAGTTTCTCGAATTCGTACACCTATGACCCAAGGTGGCAGGATCTTCACTTACGTTCTCACTTGGGACGGACAATGGCGATTTACCGAAACAGGGAAAGAGTTTGGAATTGACTTGCTGAGCAAGCACACCATGCACAGTAACGTCTCGATCTATATCGCTTATTCCGGGGAGTTTTTCATCCGCCCAATTCACCACCGTCACCATCACCATCACCAACATCCACACAAAAGAAAGACCGTCAACCCGCTCGCGCTTGATGGACTCGATGCAGATCTTGATTCGGTGGCAAACGGTAACGAGGCCGGAGATCTTGTCGTTGTGTCGACTGACCCAGCCGACTATGAACTCATAATCGACAATGATAGTGGCACATACCGCCCAAATGCCGATTTACTACCATTGTTGAAAGAATTTATGGAGAAGAATCTCCCGGGGCTTAAGGTGACCACCCTTGATTGCCAAAAAGATGCGGAGAAGATGGGTAAATTGAAAGAGGAGCAGAGGGAGCGCAAGAAAGCGACTGGTCGGCATATGGCATATTTACAACGACGACTAAGTTCGTCAGGATCATCACTTTCTAGCTCAGACGAGGAAGAACTCGAGCATCGCGCGACTCAAGTACCGAAACACAGGAGCCCACTCTCCCAAAGGTTGCACTGGGTGATGGACCCCAAAGCGAGATACAAGGAATGGGTGGTGACTGGCCATGTTGATCGTCCTCCAATTGCACGGAGACAAAGTCACACTTTACCTATGAATGGAAACGATCCCGCAACAAGGGCAGAAGCATCCTAACCCGCACTAAACATCTCAATCCTCAAATGACTGGTAATTACTCCAACTAAGGGTCTTGCAAACCAGTGGACTGCTCAGGCGCCTCGCTCGGGTTTATATGAGTCTCTTGAGCAGATCATGGACACATATCATAATCTATGTGGTTTAGGCGTCTCGGGCTCCAGCATCTGATTTCCAGAAACTCTCTAGCCGCTTCTATTTCGAAGTTACGACGCAGGTCCACAAAATTCAAGCATCCTTTTTTTTTGTGATCTTTCGAGCTTTTAGTAAACTTGTTCTCAGGACAATGATCAAGCATTTCCTCTTCCATAGCTAGATATCCAACTCTGTATCGTTTTAGTATCAGTGTCTAATGTTAAAAATCCACAAGTGGGATGTGGCACATAACTAGGTAGTCAGTCTAGTCAACTGCTGGTGGCGGAGAGAGAATCGTAATCAAGCAGGCAGTGTTCAACGGCGTGTAAATTCAAGCACTTGTCACTCCAATAGCTGTGTGAAATCGACCAGATGACTTGGGAATGACTGGAGCCTGTTGAATTCCAATCTCGTGATGTGAAACTTTAGTCAACAAGGGTCAGGGACAAGCACATTTAACCTGCTCAGCAACACCCTGCCTTGTTCAAGCGCTTTCTCCTTCAAAACATACTCAATCCATAACAAACATCTAACATTTGCAGGGCGGATTCCTGTCAGTGGCGTTGCTTTTTGTGATCAGGTCCACCCGGGTTGTTTCTTATCAATTAGTTAACTACTTTTTACTTTCTGCAGATTAAGTTGGCTAATTTGTCTGGAACGCGTCGCTCTGCTTGAAGCTTGTGACGCTTCAAATTGACACTGCAGCCAGATACAAACATCAAACTCCACTGCCCTACCAGAGTCTTTCCTTTACATTCCCCTCGGTACCTGCTGCCGTCTATCACTGGCATGCCTATATTCTCACTAGGCCACTGAGGACTTAGTTGCAGATGCCAATATGGGGAATGTGAGTAGCAGGCCTGATGACCCCGCGGTCCTGTATCTCAAAGATCAAGTGAAATGTAAGTTGCCAGTTCATCTTGCAATATTTTGGGCCATCCTATTCTCGAGCTGACTGTTATTCTCTTTCTTATACAGTAACAATAGCTTCCCTCACAATCACAAATTATCGTGGCCATGGGATTCTTAACGCCAGTCCTAACTCCTTCCCCGCAACCCGCGTTACAGTAAAGAGAGACCCTGGCGATGACACCCCGATTGAATTTGTTCTTGTATGTCATTATGAGATCATTCCACCTGCGCGATGCGTTTCCGGAAGCCCTCACAGTGCTAACTTGTTTCCTGCGCGTAGGATCCGGACTCTGTGACAAGCAACACAACACCTACTTTCCTCTTGCGCCTAACAAATGAAGATGAATTAACATTCAAGTTTACATTTATTATTCGACAAACCCAGATTTCCTCAGTTACTACATCTACTGTAAACGGTGTCGCAACCACACTACCCGAAGCCGTCGATACAACTCTGAAGGGTGTTACCTTCGCGCATGCCTCGAACTCGAAAGAGTTAGACAACTTGATCACCCGAGAGTTTCACGCGAATCCGAACCTGCAGAATAATTCAAACGTTCAGCATGTCGGTACCTTTTCGACAGGAGGGAGTCCTTCCGTGCAGTTTGACTGGACTTGGAAGTGGAAACCACCGAAACGTGCTGAAGATAGAGGGGGCGGATGGAAGAACTGCTGTAGTTTTCTGGACTACGATGAGCGCACAAACAGATTGAACACACTTGCGACCTTTACCTTTTGGGTTCAGAATGCTACCCGACCCCTATCAAGCCCGATTATAACATCACCGCGGTTCGAGCTAGCCGTTCCACCACGAAATCGCAACGTTTCCTCTCAGTCAGTTATTTCAAGAATGAGTGAAGTGGAGGGTTATGGCGACGTGAACGCGCCCCCGTCGCCAATAGAAAATGTCGAGGTTTTCCCCAATGCCACAGCACCCACGGTCCCTGTGAAGTTGGAGATTTGTCAACGCCCAGGGGAGGATATGAGCGCAGTCGAGGACGGCCCACTATTCCGTGCTACGATGAAAGCCCTTGAACAAAAGACAGGAAACATGAGGGCCAAGATGAAAAAGCTCTTGAAAAAGGCCGAAGCAGTGCATCAACGGCAAGTGGCGTACAATGAATCTGTTGGTGCATTTCTTTTTGCTCTGAATGAAGCATCGACCTCGAACGCGAACGCAATTCAACCGGCTTTGGAACATTATTTTGACAAAATCGCGAAAGAAATACTCGTTTGGGAGCAGCAAAACTCCACAAATCTACAAAAGCTCATCATCGACCCACTCAGTCGATTGTACAACAACGATATTAAGCAAGCCGAGTCGAAGAAAAAGGAGTTTGAAGACGAAAGCAGAGATTATTATGCTTATGTGGGACGCTATCTAGGACAACGCCAGGATTCCCTCAAGGAGAAAAAGCGAGCCGAGAGCGATTCGAAGTACCAGTCGAAAAGAAGACTTTTCGAGCTGAAACGGTTCGATTATTCCTCCTTTATGCAAGATCTTCATGGCGGACGCAAAGAGCAAGAAGTATTGTCCTATCTTACCAAATACGCGAATACCCAAGCCCAAAGTTACCTTTCCACGGCGAAGAAAGTTGAGGAAATGCTCCCACAGTTAGAGGCCCTGATACATGAGGTTTCGGAAGCGGATAAGGAGTTTCAATTTCAGCGAACTGAGCGTGAAGAAAAGCGAAGGGCTTTGGAGCAGAGCAGCAAAAAATACATTGAGCCTGAAGGTAGCAGTGGGCCGCCCGTCGCACCAAATACAGCTCCTTATACTTCCGATTCGGAACTTGGCCGTGCAGATAGTACCGGCTCTCAAGGGAAGGGGCTTACTGGAAATCGACCCTCGTTCACATCCTCTTCCAATGTTGCGGGAGGTACGCTGAGCCCTTCGGGACAAAATCGATTCAAGGGAATCCGGGATATGGAAGAGCGGGATCATTCAGCTACTGCTAATTCGGAAAAAGCGCACTCCCAGCAAAAGAAAGAAGGACTGCTGTGGGCGCTGTCGCGACCTGGTTCTCATATTGACCCAAAGGGGATAAACAAACAGGCTTGGCATAAGTGAGCGCTTCTTTCGTGATTTCACTTTGTAAAGGCTAACCATTTTTTGAATAGGTTTTGGATTGTCTTGGATCAAGGAAAGCTTTCTGAATACAGCAATTGGAAACAAAAGCTGGATCTACACATGGAGCCTATCGACCTCCGGATGGCATCCGTTCGCGAGGCCCGGAATGCAGAGCGACGATTCTGTTTTGAAGTGATCACACCACAATTCAAGAGAATTTACCAAGCTACATCTGAGGAGGACATGAGGAACTGGATTACGGCGATTAACAACGCTCTGCAGACTGCAGTGGAGTCTGGTCGAGGCGCCCCTCCACCTCCGGCTTCTGATGGAGGAATCCATAAGACCATCGGATCTGCATTAGCGGGAAAGACCACTTCGTCCAACACGAGCAACGTAAGCCGGAGAACCACTGTTGGCGCTCGCCCAAGTTACGTTCGAAATGACAGCAGTTACGAGGATAATCCCATCTAAGCTTCTCCAGCTTATCCGCGATGCGGATCAGGGGAATAATTGGTGCGCAGACTGTGGTTCGTCATCTAAGGTTGAATGGGTTTCCATTAACCTGGGCATTGTTCTCTGCATTGAATGCAGTGGTATTCACAGATCCCTTGGGACTCATATTTCCAAAATCCGTTCTCTCACACTGGATATCCACTCCTTTTCTAATGACATTGTGGAAATCTTGCTGCAGATTGGAAATCGTGTCAGCAACATGATATGGGAGGCCATGTTGAATCCAGCGCTGAGGCCAACAGCGCAATCGACTCGCGACCAACGACTAAAGTTCATCACCGCCAAGTATGCCGAGAGAGCCTATATTCGTCCACTATCTTCTACACTTTCACGCTATGGCACAGCGGATGAGACGCTCCTCGCATCTATCAAACAAAATGAGATTCAAGGCGTACTTTATGGAATCGCGTTAGGGGCGAATCTGAATGCTACGGACCGGTCACGACACACCCATGCCGTGTTTTTGGCGTTGGCGGCAGCTGATCCTGCGTCTCCAGCATCTTCGACGACTTCCCTCTCGAACCGCGCAAAATCGGCTCCGCAACCCCCGACGGGCATAAAAGCAATACCTTTCCCGATTGCGGAACTTTTGGTTCAAAACGGAGCGGAGATTCCTATTGAAATGCCGGCAATACCACTGTCACCTGCTGCGCAACTATACGTTAACCAGCGAACGGGACGGGTCGTCGGAAGCGGCATGACGACGGCAATCGCTGGAGGCGGCGATACCATCAGCGCGTTACCAACAATCCGTGACTTTGGAAGCGGAACGAACAGCGTGATGTCTCCGTCTCCTGCTGAGATGAATACAAAGGAGCGGGAAAAATTGCATAAACGGGGAAGCGCCGGGGCTCGATTCGCAGGAAAAGTGACTTCGTTTGGGAGCTAATCATCTTTTCCAGTCGAAGGGCTTCTCGTACCAAGAGTGTTGCCGAAAACGATAATGACTATGACTGCATATGATATCTGGAGATGAAATGGCCTGGGCAGGGATGGAACAGGGCTTGCACATGTGATGGACTCGGAAGGTATCTTTGGGCTCTTTGCACTGGGGTTTCTTTTCGTCATACTACGCTTTTTTAATCTTGGATGGAGGCGACTGATCGTAAGAGCGTCGACCTTCTATCTCTTATTATTCTTCTCTTCTTACCAATACCCAGTCTGATTCTCCACAAAGCAGCGTTTCCTATGTTCATGTATGGGTTAGAACAGACCTTGTAAGCCGAGTTGGTGTGGATATCGTTGTAAAGCGCCTGCTAATGTATTGATACTAATAATAAATGGAAAACACTGCCAGCTCCTCCTGCTGAGCTCCAGGACCTTCTGATCAAATGTCTAGATCTGGAAACAGCTCCACGTGACAGTGCTGCTGACTCAACTGCTGATACTTGGAACAGCCAATCACAAGCTTTATCTAGGCACTAAGCCAGAACCAGTCTAGCGGCTCCGCTGACGAATTGAAACGCCAAGATTCCCCACAAAAACGCCGAATCCGGGGAAAAGGAGCTTGTACGGCGCTAGTACCAGCCAGCTTCTTGCTTTGTCCGCGCAGCAAAGACCGCGGTATCGTGATACCGTTTCACATGCGCCAATGGCGAATAGGCTTACTGGCTTAGGTAAGTCGTGGTTGGAGCTCCGCAAACCCGCTCGACGGCATATCCATCTTCCCCCATCCCCCATCCTCAACCTCAACCTTCACAGCTTCTCCCGCTCTTTTGCAGCCTGCTTTCCATACTCCTTGTGTCACATTCTGCGAATTCTCCATCTCTTTGCATTCGAAATCTGACCGGGTGCCCATTTGCCTGCATTGCTCGCTGTTCATCGACACCTCCTTCGTCGTCATTGGATGCTCTCGCCGCCAACCCCGCAAGCGAGCTTCTGCTAGTTGCCACCCTTGACCTTTGGCAATTCAATTGGTACCCATTGGGCTTTTGAGCCATCATTGGGTCGGACAAGCTCACCACGTCGTTCACCGCAGAATGGGATAACAGCTTTGTCGACCCCAGCTCTTGAAGAATTTCAAGAGCTTGGAAGACAAGCTGGTGATCTTGGCTGAATCCGTGAGACTGTGCTGCGTGGAAAGTCCCAGCATACCCATTGAAACTTGACTGTTCTTGAATTTCTCTTCTCCGCCCTCGAATCCTCCAACCATACTATTCCAACCTCGTTTTCACTTCCTGGATTACAAGAAACTCCACTCACCTAGGCGTGATGGCTCACGAATCAAATTCCCCCCCCTCTCCACAAAGCCCCCGGCGGCGGCGTTCGTCCTTCACTGAGCTTTTCCAGAGGCAGGGCAATGCTGTTCCGCCAACCCCAAGCTCGCAGCCGCGACCGATCTACACCAGTGGTATCGCCAACGCCCCTGGCCAGCAACATCAGCGTCGAATGTCCCTCAATACACTCGGCCTTTCCGGCTCTCCAACACAAGTGCATCCTTTTGGGCCTCCTGCTATGCGTCGGGGCAGCGTCTCAAGCTCTGTAATGTCGACTTCTCCCACCATTGAGCAGGCTGTTGTGGAGGAGCCAGAGGGAGAATCTTCCCCCATGACGGCCCCGGCAACCCCTTTTGCCCGCCGCGTTTCGTTTGGGACGCAGGCGCTACGTGGGAATTCAAATGGTACATATCACTCCCTGGGAAGGTCACAACCTTCGAGAACTCGCTCATCATCGCTGTTTGGTAGCACGTCGTCTAATGGCGATGGAGTTGCACTCAGCGCAAGTACCTCGCATAATCTCTTCCAGAATGTTAAATCTAACCCATCATCTTATCGTCAACTAGGGGAAGGCTTTAACTGGGCCGAATCTTTGAGGATCAGGGCCGAGCGCGCCCCGTCAGTTGGAAATTTCCCTCCCACTTCTCCAACTATGCCGCATTCTGGGATGGTCCATCAGCGTTCGGCTTCTGTTGCAACGATGGAAGCCCCGCCGCCTGAGCGTATGGAACAGGCGAAGCAGCCCCAGCCCCGATCTCGCCCGAAACCTGATTACTTCCAGGAGAAGATTTTGAGAGCCGATTTTATGGACTAAATCCAATATTACATCTAAAGCGTTCAAGCCTTGCAACTTTATGCATAACCCGATTTAAAGTTACTATCTACGATTGCTAACGTCGCACCCCCAACTCTACTAGGGGTTACAAGCTATTTACGAACATGGAGAGTCGGGCAACAATGGACCTGCCCGCTTTTACTAAAATTTGTCATGCTGGGTGGACGCAGTTGGTTTTGTTGATATTCTTCTCCCCGAGTATTATTAAGTTTGACAGTTTTTAAGGATATGTGTCGAAGTATGGGACATGCAACTCTCTCCACACTGTTCTGAATTCGAATCGACATGAGCGATGGATGTTTTCCCGGTCCTTCTCTTTAACGGTTCTTCTGGGATTTTTCTGGTGTCGGGAAGTTGCTTCGTTTTATTTTCGACTACCATTACTTTTGCTTCGATTTCTTGTTACCTCTTATCCCTTATCTTTTTGGCGCTTATATTCCTTGTTTTATCTGAAGTTGCTCCGTACATGATATCAATGAGTAGGTAGCTACAGCACTGATATCGCCTTACATACTTGACTTACGTAGATATGGCTCATGATCTAGCACAACGTCAAAACCAACTCTGATATTACACTTGGAATGATCAATTGGCAACCTCATTTGCACGGGGTGGAATTCTTGCTATAAATGGGGCACAACCCTTCAAATACCAATATTGATACAAGAAGCGTGTTACCAAGATAGACGGCGGCTCTACAGGCGCCTATAAAGGAGCCCGGGGATCTTCGTATATAAACGGAATATGAAAGCTGATCTGAATAGAACAGCTAGCCGCCTTCTAACATGTAGTTAAACTACTCATTGAGTTTGCTATTGAGTTTCTATTCCAAATTTAATACCTTAGAGCTAATCAGGTGAGTAGTTAACAAGGTAGCTAATGCAATACATATATCCATCAAGATCAATGAAGATTGTGGGATTACTCAAAAACCGTTTTATGTGCTATGTTCACACTTGGTCATCCTCAAAACTGAAGATGTATAGTACATACTTCTATAGTAACAACCTCGCCTATCGATGATGGTTAAACCGTAAATTACCTTACTTAACTTGCGTTGACTGGATTTCTAAAAATCTATAGTCACACACACCCATAACATAGGAAAACTTCAACCACAAAAGCAACAGGTATGTTCTGTAGGGGCTGTGATGCGGGCGACTTAAAACGGAATGCTATTTGTCCACAGCTGGAAATGATCATAGCCAACCGTAGACATGCTTGCATAACTTTTCCGAATCAGCTCTCTCATATGCTGCGCTGCCTCGTGCTCGCTTTTCTCTAGCACAAATCTATCCTGGAAATTCTGAAGGCTGTCGGGTTTAAAGCATGGTAGCCCACTGTCGAGCATTAAGGTGACGATAAGTGCTAGTTTCGCCTGGTAGGGACGAGAAGCAAGGAACGG